TGTTCTATATTGTAAGGTTTGAATGAATCAATATGTCAACAGGTATTTTCATTACAATATGGTCCAATCACCGATGTACGGCTAACAGCGGCAACAAATTATCATAGACAGACCTTAAACTCTAAATCGTATTTTCTATGATACTAAAAATACAATTATAAGTTCATTATTACCTTTACAATGATTTTTTTTTTTGATAGTTGATATTTATACCATTAACTATTGAAGGGATTTATTCGAGAAAGATTTCATCACGCTCATTTTTAATACTCTTACAGTCCTGTGACTACACAGTTGAAACCGACCTCGCTATGATCATTGATCCATCCCTACTATATATATTTTTTTAAATAATGTTTAAACATAGTTATATAAAATTGATTAATTTGATTGACAGCTTTTGTTTTAACTGTGATGGCCTCGATAATGTCATTTATGAATAGTGAATTTACCTAATATTTGCTTTCAAAATATCAAAAATAAAAACCAATGTGTAATTTATTATTTTAGGTTTTAGAATGTATTTAGGCATTTATAAAGAGTTAATAACAAGCATCAAACATGTATGTAGAACAATATATAAAATTCTAATATATTAATACTTTTAAAATACGACTCGGGCTATCTGTGTAGATTTGTTGAAAATAATTTGAATAACACTTTGATTGGATGAATGCACATATTATGTTCTTAACAGCTACGAATTTTTAATTTTACATCAAAACAATTATGAAAATGTATAATACATTCATACAAATAAAGTACCATGCGAATTTTTATGTTTAATCACATGTTTGATTTTTGCCAATTTTAGCTTAAAGGGCGGTTTTTAAAAATCATACAGCAACATAGGATAAACCATTTTATTTTTGCTGAGCATTATGAGTAGTGCGGTAGATATTATAAGTGTTTCGTTACTTCAATAGCAAATGACAGCCAAGGCAACTTCGATAATGAAATAGTTGATACAAAGAAGTAAGTTTTTTTTCAGTGTACTTATTAATATGTGATAATTTTTGCATTCACTGTACGGCCGACGGTGAGAGCAAATACCTATATAAAGCAAAAAAAGCTTTTGTGTAAACTATGGTGAACGGCAAAATCGTATACGGTTTGAACGCACACGGACAATGTCAAACCGTACATTTATGTATTATTGTTTTGAGGTCTGTGATTTGATGGCCGCCTCGTGCCTGTATTACTTGCAATCTTTTTGATCATACACATACATGCATGTGTATATATAATTTTTTTTTTTGGTCGGTGCTTTTTATGTATGCTTGCGCATTGCGTTTTACGGTCGCCCAAGTTTTCTGTATTCCAAACAAAGCATACCTATTATATAAATACAGCGTCCCTCTCGAAAACGCGCTTTTCCTTTTGTGAGCGCATACTTACTTTGAACGGCGAATATAATACGACGTGTACGACTGAAAGCTCCTTTTTTATTATTATTCTAAAAAAAAAACAATTTTGTTAAAAAATATATATATATAGGTACACTACGGCGTCCGCCCTCGACTTGTAGTATATATGGTTTTTTTTTCTTCTATATAATATTTCCCTAAACGCGCGCGGACGGCCGATATAGTATTTGAAAAGAGGGGTCGGAGGCCGCCATTTCTATATACCGTTTGTTGTTTTAAGGAGGTCACGGCGACGGAGGGGGGAGGGCGCCCAAAAAGGGAAAAAGGAAAATAATAACACAGGGAGAGGAGAGACGGAATGCAAACTTAGTACTTAAAGGTATTACACAATGTGTGTAAAGCGTGGCTCGCGCCCAAAGGGGGAACACGTTCGTTCAGGATAATATTATATAATATACAAGTATTAAAAATGTGTTTGTGTGTGAGCATGCGGTTGGACATAGCAATAATAATATGCAGATTTTTATGACTTAGCCGAATGTGTCCCCCGCCGTGTAGTGTTTTACAGCCCAATCCGAAGACGACGATGACGACAATAAAAGATCATCGTCTTGGTCCGATCTCCCTTTTGTCCCCCCTCAAACACTTTCCACCACCGACCTCACAATTAATCGTGGCAATAACTATATGCAAATTCGTAAACGTCATTCGACGACCGAATATAAAATTACCACGCCATTTTGAATACGACAAACCGAACCGCGATTCGGAGACAATAATAAAAATTATTATTGTTTGCGTGTATTTTTTTTATTTGTTCGGGTCGTGTGGGTGCCCGAGTTTTTCATGACTTACTTTATTTCATTCGAATCTTTGGTGAAAGCATTTTTTTCCATCTATTTTCAAAATACTCTGGCTTTATCTGAAAATCCGCCTTTTCTTCCCACCCACGAATGTTCCTTTAGAGCCTGCACTGCGACGGGAGAACAATCCCGGATTACCACAGATGAAATTGATAAAAAGTTTCAGCCGGCGTTTCATTTTTTTTTGACAAAAAAAAACAACAAAATTATACAACAGATAAAACTGTATATTCTGTTTCAAGCCATTTCGACCGTGACTATCGATATAAAAAATTAATCCCACCGAACTATACCCTTCGCTTGATGATAATATCGAAACGTAGATATTGAACATAGTCAAAGCTGTTTCATGTGATAACATGAGATATTTTTTCGGGATCTTTGCTAATGTCACACCGAAACAGTTTGTTTTTAAATAGTAAATAACAAATAATGAATTATTTAAAAGTTTTAGCTAATCGAAACGTTTTTTAATTTGAATATATTTCTACGGCCACTTGAAATAATTCATTGCCTAAAACTTCAAATAATATATTTTAATAAAACACTTTTTTATTTAACTATCTCAAATAATTGGTTATTTTAAATAGTTTTGCAAATAAAAAATGTGATTTATTATTCAAGTACATTATTAATTGATTTAACATTGCACTTGAATACTCTATCTTCCTCGAAAAACTACGATTTTTTCCTGGAAATTTTCTTTTTTAATTTCGAAATGGGAGTAACACGGAACACCTCATTATTATTATTAATTGAAATTATAAAAAATTAGAATTCTGTCCGTTGTTAGTGCGTGTACCTATGTGACCTTCAATAGCGAATTCGAATTTACGTTTGGCAATTATTTGAATTCTAATTTACATAAAAAAATGTTATTACTATGCCCATATTTAAATAGGGTTTAACCTATTTTATGTACACATTACATACAAGTTAGTGTAAAATATAATCTCTGCTGTGTTATAATTATGCGTAAACTTTTTTTGTGTGCTAAAACCGTTGAGTCCCAAAACAGGTCATGTACCTAAGGATAATAAGGCTTTTAAGTCGGTGTCGTCGGTGGCTGTCCTCAGTGTAGACTGTAGTGTGTATTACAATAAAAAAACATGCAAATTGCGAACAAAAAAATATAAAAGGTGTTAGAACACAGATGACGTGCGATCAACGTCGCAGCGATATTGTACTGTGACGTATCAATTGCATCGCAACTAGTCATTCATTTTAAAGGTTACTAATTATTATTCATGCAGAACTATATTATTGTCAAGGTCGTCAATAGATATTCATCATGTTCGATTCGTAATTAATAAAACAATCACACAATAAAAATTATCGAATAATTAATACCAATAAACTGAACGACAGTAACTGATTATTTTGTGCACACGTTATATTATAATTATTGAGTGTGGCGACATCTTTAGTAAATGGTTATGTTATAAGATAGTAATGGATAGCAGCCAAACGTTATCTTAATTGTCAATCAAACGTATATGAATATTATGGTGCGAGCATACGACGCCAACGCTGTTGTAGACGAGCTACTTTATTATTGTGCACAGCTACTATAACTTCTTTATTGTGTCACATTAATCAAATCCCTATAAATACAAAAATAATTATAATCAAAAGTATACTTCTTGAAATCAGCTTCTAAATCTTTATTTCTTACTTTTAATAGTGTTTAATTACTTTTTGGTATCTTTGTCCTTAAATTTAAAATTGGGTCACAACAATATGGTTTCAATAATTATTTTGTTGATACATATCAACAACATATATATATATATTACATTTCAAGATAAGATAATCAATTAATATAATTATATTAATCAATTAAATCTGTCCAACTAAGATATATAAGTAAAAAAAAAAAATGTATCAACCTCAGGAGATGGCGGAAGGGCTGTTGATATTAAATAAGGTTTGAGACTATTTTCTGTTAGGGCTAAGCCTATAGCATGTTCCATATTAACTATGCTTTGACTAGATCATAAAGTTCGAAGTTTAAAGTTAGTATGTGTTTTTGGCTTTTCCTGATTTTAAGGGTAAAAGATTAATTAAATTTCCAAAACGTTTACCCGCCCTAAAGTATGTGACGGCAACATTAACGACCAATATAACCGACCGCAATACTCTTTGAAAGACTGAAAGATTTCACTAACCTCTGTATCAAATTTTAGTGGCCATTTTCAATTCAAACGCAATTGACTTTTGCTTCCAATTATTGGTCAACACCACAGTCCACACGAGAGAAATTACATATTATGTTACTTACAACAATTTTGGATTTTTATTTCTCTGAAAATGATAAATTATAACGGGAGAATGAAAAAAAACAACGTAAAACATGTAAGTATATTTTAATTTCTTTTTTTCTTTTTTCGTTTTTGGGGGTTACATTTCACAACAATGATTGCAGAATGGCACACACGTTCACAACCGGTTAACAAAGACACAGTGTCACGATTTATTGTTAAACAATATATTATAACCGAAGTCATGTAGATAAACATTTCTACACTAACGTGTTATGTTATTCCGAATCGACTACTAATCAAGGTTAAATTTAGTTAATATCTAATAAATATTTGTCTACGATAAAATTAATTTAATAAAAAAAGCGAACAATTAAATAACAGCTTTTAACAACTTATAGAAGTGATGGTTTCTGAGATTTGTGTGGGTATAATATAATTTCACGAGGATATGTTATAATACGGTAATCTAAAGCCAAATACGAATAGCAACTTTTTTTTTTTGGTGGGGGGGGGGGGTCATTGGTGTTTTTGATTTCATAGTTAAAAAAAAAATTACAATAATAATAAAAATGAGATTACACATTTGTCATATATATATACAAAACAAATAAACAAACAATACGATAATTAATAAAATATATATAAAATGTAAAATAAGGTACTACAAATATCACAAAAAATTGGGTGTAAAATGAATTTGGCCTCGATTTGTTTAAACTTTAAAGACGGCTGTCGCATTTTGTATTATTATATTAAGTCAAATAGGAACGCCAGAGTAAAATATTATGGTAGCACCTAATTTATAAAATTAAGTTAGTGAACATTCATGTTGAGGTTGTTATTAATGAAATACAGATTAAAAACTATTGACTATGTATAATATTAAATTAGTAAAACGAATTAGGCTAGGGTATTTATTTTATTCTCTCTATAGGACTACATAATAAGTGTTAAATAAATACCATAGAATTCGATATTTAAAATCAACGAAACGTAAGTATTATTATTATTATATATAAATATATATAATATTATTATATCGTTGGCGTCTATAAAATAAATAGATTTGTTACGTTTTAAAATTTAAAATGCAAACGTTTCCAAAAGGTCGATCTAGCGTTGAGATTGAAAAACAAACAAAAAAACGAAAAGCGCAAGATTTTTTTTCTTCCGAGTACCTATATATTGAGCATGATAGTAATCTTTTTACGGTCATATCGACAATGGCGGTTTTGTAGACAACAAAATATTATCGTCTTGGTAACTATTTGGTCATCGTAGGTCATTAATAAAAAAATGTAAAAACGTTCAACGACCTGGCTTTTCGACCGAATCAATCTTTTGGATGCCGCCATTGAACTTGATCTCGTTTACCGAATGTGACCTCGAGTGTTGTTGCGCACTTCCCCGACCGTGTGGTCGGTCTCCCCCGGGAACTACTGGGGGCAACACGTGATTCGCCGAATGCGACCTCGTGTGACCGTTGCTTCCTGTGCGAGAGCCGTTGCCCGTCTGACTTTTGAGTGCCATCTGGTAGGCCACCTCGAACGCTTGGCCCAGTGTCAATATGATCTCGGTCGCCTGATCCTGTGAAAACGCAAAAATGGAAAATCATCTTCGACCCAGGTTGTCATTCAGACCTGGGGTAGCAAAAAAAGCCAGCACGATGAGAGGGGAGGGGGGGAACGGGAGAGGTCACAAGTCTTTGGGAATTATCGTAACTGATAAAAATGGCTTTCAAATAACTGTCAAAAACCTGTTCAATATGAACGTTAATTATTTCATAGATATTAAATCTACTTTTAAAGTTTTCTTCAGAAAAATTTCATTACTCAGTTTTTGATTTTGATTTTTTTAAGATTATGAATAATATTTAAAGCATTTTGGCTACTTGACTATTTGTCTATTTTGAAAACATATAGCGTGTCCTAATTTTGTTTAGCTTTTCTCGATTCTGAAGAATACAATTTCTGATCTATGGATTGGCTACATGAAGAAATGGGTTCAGTGGTTTTAAAACAAATCTTGGGTAGTATATGTTTAGTATAGTTTAGTATATGTTTTAATTAATTTGTTTAATAATTACTCAAAGTTAGTGTCTCTTCTAAAAGTCTTGAAATGTAGGAATTTAAAAAAAAAAAAGATGATTATTGTCGAATCGGACTTACCATGGTCGACACGCTGAACACGTGACAGTAATGTAAATTAGTGTGATGATCTTTTGTGATGTATGCAAAATGATTGAGATCGTCGGCGTCCTGGGAAGCGCAATTGATGTTGCAGATCTCGTGCTCGCAAACCGACTTGGCCAACGTCGGAACCACAAACCTCACCCCTCGATAAGATATGGCCAGTACCACTTCGGGAAGCGACAGCTGAGTACCGGAAGCCACCGCTTGTTTGAGCTTTTGTATCGACAGTTTGGTCGATTCGGTGCCTCGTGGTTCTTTGACTTCGGTCGACCCCAAATACTAGAGGACAACACAGGATCAGTGACGTCACTGTCTCGCGTCTTATTTAATGTAAAAATACCGACTTACCGAAGCTAAGTACTCGACGTTGCCGGTGACCAACGTGTCGGGTTGATGTCTCCACTGAGTGGTCAACGTAGGCGGAACACCGAAAAGTAATTCGGACGGACCTCGAATGACCAAGTCGGCGTTTTTGTTGGAAGAATTTTGAAACTGAGGAGGAAGAGGTGCGTGCCTAGATTTCTTTGGATTATGTCTGAGAGTAGCCGTTCCCGACACCAGTTGAGAGCAATGTCTGGTAGACGGTTTTTCCTTTGTCGATTGAATGTTGCTTTTCTGTAAAACAATAGTGGTAAAGACGACCAAGCGTCAATATGATTCTGGATATTAAAAAAACTCACAAATTGTTTCAGATCGTTTCCGACATCGTTCAAGCCATCGCCAACGGAGACGGCTTGGTGCAGCTGAGATTTTGTACTGTCAACTGACGACAGTATTCTTCTCCTGTGACCGGGTTTGGTGATTTCTAGTACAGCGGTGAGTTCAATCTCCCAAATCCTCGCTATCCGTTCTAGATCGGTGTACAGATGCTTCAGGAACGTATTGATGTAACATTCTAAACCGATACTCTTCAACCACTGCTCGACTTGTGTAGCATCTTCTTCGTCACCGCCGACAGAGTCCAAATCGTCTATAGATTTACTCTTCGCTTCGGGAGTGTCTTTGGAATGATGTTTAAACCAAAAATCTTTCACCACGCACGGTAAACCGCGAGCAGCTTCTAAAATTTTCAGGCGATCGTTTTTGTTTTCTATTCCCATGCACTTTAGATCATCGTCTACTACAACGCCGCTCTGTAAATTAAAAATACAATATGGATTTTATAAAAACATCACCCGTGATAGCTGTATAATAAAATAACGCGATATAATATAAAATACACTTACAATGAAGTTCAAATTATCATAACCGTAATCAATAAATGCGGCGGTATAGTCTTGAAAGCCTAAGCCAAACAACCAAGATTCAACAGAAGTCGGACTTTCAATTTTGGGTTTTGGTTTTTCTTTGCTTTCAGATCGACTTAGTCCTATTAATATCACCAGTAAAATATCATAAAACCAAAGCTACAAAGAGGAGTTTACCAATTTAAGTGTAATTCGTACATACCTAATCTCGTTTGAAATTCTTTTTCTAGTTCGCTGCACATTGATTCTTTCGCATTTTCACTTCCCAAGTTTATCAGATCAGATATTTTCGCCCATTCTTCTTGTTCGTCGAAAGGACTTAACAAATCTTTCGACGAATTTTTAGATTGATCATCAGTAGACCCTGGAGACTGTGTCGTAACAGGAGGATCGTAAACCGTTCTCAATTTACGTAATGTCTTCGGTCTTTCAGCTCGATTTATACTAACCGATCCTTTGAGCAGTCCTAACAGTAAGAACATGTTAAAAAAATAATTCGAGCAACTCTTCAAGTTTAACTCCACCAACCTGCATAAGTGGGGTCACCCAAAAATTCTTCAATGGGAGTTTCTTCGGCTGTAGAAACGCTTTTATCGGTGGAAGATACTCGGGACATAGGTTCCCACGATACGACTAATAAGTCTTCTTCCGTCTCGGTTTCCATGTCCCTAGACTTCCTTTTCAAATTTATGTATTCCTGTTTAAACGAAAATAATAATTAAAACTAGTACAGTGGGGTTGGGGTATAGCGGGGACGGAGCATATTGGACGGCGGAGTTATTGTAACTGAAAGTGATGCGAATCTGTAGATGGTAAAATAAATACTATAGAATTTCTGACTTGCTACACGAAGGAATCAAAGGTTTAATAAAGATATCGTCGTGGGTTCAAACAAAAAATTGTAAAAACAAAGACTTCTTAGCTCCACATCGAAGCTAAAAAAACTGCATTTCCCCACTATAAATTTACTTAAATATTACTACCTTACCTAAAATCTTATTTACCTTAAATATTTGTTTAAATACTATCTTACCTGACTTAAAGGCCGCATCCTTGCGTGTATACTCCGTTCAGCTTGGAACGGCGATGGAGGTGGATGATCAGGCGTAGGTGGTTGATGATAATTTGTAGGACTCGACGGCCAATCGAAAAGGGCAGTGTCGTCGCCGTCCAGAAGACTTTCTCGCGAAGACGAAATAGTAGTAGTAATAAAACCGTTGCGATCAGAAACTATGATTTGATTTATTGTGGCTGGTTCTAATTCAACGAGTTTGAACTGTAAGTCACCCCGAGCCAATAAGGCACCGGGATCCTGATCTCCACTTTGACGTTTGAGCTTTCGGCGAGGATTTGTGGTTCGAATAGGAACATTTTGGTATAAAGACGTTAACGCTACGGGTTCTTCACCTGACGTTGGCCGTAATTTCATTTCGATATATTGATCTGCCGATTTGCCTCGACGCAATATATCAGTCTTGCGGTTTTGATCGGAAGATTGCGATCCGGAAGTCGCTAAGTATAAATATTCGTAAGGTCCACTACAGTTCGTAGTTGACATTTTCGAGGGTGAATCGGTTTCAGATATCAGTCTTTTGGATGTCATGGGCTGCCGAGCAACAAGTATTCGCATGTTATTTGTGCGTTAAAAAAAAAACTACTTCATTGTGCACAACTTACAGAAACATTAGACGTGGCTGGACTTAAAGGAGCCATCGGTAAGTAGAAAGGGGAAGACGTAGGTCTATGTCCGCTAGAAGTTGTCGAAGAGCCAATGCTCACAGTGTCCAACTCAGGTCCCGAAAGAAAATTGGAGTCTATAAAGGACCTCGAAAGAGCATTAGGGGCTCCACTTTTATATCCTCGGCCCCATTGACCGTGCCCATCAGATGAAAACCTTTAATAAAAAAAATAATAAAAACTTACGTAGTTTTAATGTATCGAAAAAACTTACGCTGAACTTTCAGACACACGCCGATTTTTGTACATTTCCCAGTGGGTAGGCGAAGGACTAGGAGATAACATGCTGTCGTACGGACTACTCAAGGGAATAGGTACAGAATCACCGTTTTCACTTCTCCTATCCGTTTCCAGATCGCTATCGTTATTATTGTTGAACTTGTGGCCTTAAGTAGAAAAGTTCAATATTTAAAATGTTTTCACTTTGTGTCTGGGCTGAAGAATTCACATACTTTGCAACATAGCCGTTATTTCTACAGCGGGGCCGACCTTCGATGGAAATTGTTTAAGCAGATCCTCTACAGTTCGTCTATGGATATCTCTAATTTGAGTATTGATACCGTGATCTAATAGCAATCTAGCTACTTCAGTCTTGCCACATTGAACAGCTTCGTGAAGAGCAGTGCCGCTACCGGTACGGACGTTGACGTCCATTCCGGCTGTCATTAATAGCTCTACTACAGTCCTGATAAATATTTAAACTTACAATAGTGTTTATTAAAAATTAGCGTCCGATATAACATTAACATACTTGTGTCCATTGCGGCTTGCTAAGTGTAATGGAGTATGTGCAAACATAATGCCAGCAGCTCGAGAATTATACGACCTAATTAATTCTGGCCGTTTTGCAAGAATTAATTCCACGGTTTCCAGTCTAGCATATCGATCAATAATTAGAAAAATCAATAAAATATCTAGTGTAATAATATTTACAAATAAGTTCAGTGAGTTCATACCTCCCATATTGTGCGCATAAGTCCAAGGCAGTTTCATGTTTGTGATTTCTTATAGTTGGATCAGCACCATGTTCCAGTAAAAGCGCAACCACGCCCGAATGACCATATTGAGCGGCACAATGCAAGGGTGTCTCCCGATTTTTTGTCTATTGATTAAGTACAATGTCGTTCGTTTCAGTAATGAAGAATTGGGAATTTTAAGCATTTTCAAATAATATAGTTTATTAATTTACCATATGGTTAACATTTGGGATCGAAGGCCCGTGACAAAGTAATAAACGAACGATTTCAACATTGCCTGTCCATGCCGCCAAATGTAACGGAGCAGCGCCTTTGTGGTCAACCACGTTTGTAGAAGCTTCATTGCACAGCAAAAGTTGTACTATTTCCCTATTAACGAACATAATTAATGACTCAATAAGTCTAGAAAAATGCTCATTACGAACAAATATGAATGTACGTGACGTGTTTTTCTCAAAAATAATTAAAAATAGACATGCAAACAACAACAACGGTAGTATAAAATCTAGTATAAAAAGTTTACTTGTATCCATTAAGTGAAGCATGATGTAATGCTGTAAACCCAGTTTGGTCTTGAGTGTTAACACCAGCACCGCGTCTCAAACTGCAATTACAATTAATATAAAATATGATAATATAATTAAATGTTTTAGCTAAACGGTATTTCGTAATACTAATGACATTTAAATTTAAAGCATGCTTAATTTATTATTATAGCCAAGAGTTAAGTTTAACTATCATACCACTCCATTCCTATTTTCCCGATGATGTGGTTTATTATAAACAAATATTCATTATTGGTTGTAACATGAGATACCTTTAATAATGATGATTAGCACTCGTAAACTCAAAAAACAATATTTTTTAGTTAGACAAACTAGAAATGTAAGAATATTATGCAAGAACATAAATTGGTCGTTTGAATATACTTTAGTTTCCTAAGCCAAACATTTTAAATTTAACAGAAACTTGAATACGATATTAACACCACCTCACGAACCTATGATAAAAGTTTTAAATAGTCTGCTTTTCTTAAAATAGAAAACAGTGTCATCTCTAAGCGTACACATGCACGAATATTATTTTAGGGTTAACGGTGAATGGTTTAGGCACGTGTGAGGTAAGACACAGAGAACCTAAAAGCAACGGTTGAATGAAAACCAACGGGAATGAGACCAAGACGGCGTCAAAAGAAGCGATGGATGAGAGTTGTGGTTTTTAGTGTTGTCCAGTATTTATGATTTATAGAAAAGTAAACTAGTAAACAGTTGAACTATAATGTCAATGCCAGTAATTCTGCCTCCAATTTCTCTGTTGCTAAAAATTATTATCAATTATTATTATTATTATTAATGTGTCAATACTATTATTAATTCTAGGAGATAAACAAAACGGTGGTGATTCTGACTAGTATTGAAATGGCAATATATATTTATAATTGGGACTCAATATCCTTATTAACATTGTTACGCTGACATTAGGCAAACGTATTACGTTTTCGTTGATTACATATTTTAAATAAGTTTAAAATGTCTAAGTGTTAAACAATTAACCTAGCTGACATTAAATAAAGACCTAGCTTAAATTAATTATGGAATTAATTTAGATATCGATAAGTGTTCCACGCACAAAAATTAATTGGCGTGGGGCAAATATTTTTTTAATTTTATTCATTAAGAATGTACTCAAAAATTCATATTACACCGAAAAAATGCCATATAGTAATTCGGATATGATGATGGGCCTTGATGTTTAACTGGAAATTAAAATGTTCAAATCAACAGTGAATTTTTAAATTAACAATCTTAATAAGTTAGTGATTAGTATGCTTTTAAAAATGAATTGCCTTATTTTTAATTATATCTTTAAGGGTCAACAATTAAGACAGAATATGTCGATACTTATACATCATATGGATAGTCATGATATGTTTTCGGCTATGTAATTATATAGTACATAATTAGAACATATTTTAAATTAGAACCACGACGTTGATTAAAAATCCGAAATCGAGTCACGCTTTTGGCCAAGACTCGAAGCTGTGTAGGTTTTTCTTATATTTTTTATACAATATATAACGTATAAAAACGAAATTAGTAAGCTATAAAACTTTATATGTAATTTTCCCCTGATAAATAATAGTTGTCCATCTAAATGGAATCGTTCACTATAGTTAATCGAATAACAAGTTATCGTTAGTTTTAAGTACACTATTGTGGATCTTTATAATAAACAAATCAACAAGCATCTTTAGAAAGTACCTATAAGTTCTTATGTTTAAATTCGCAAACCAGTTTCGTTATAAAGATTAGTCTTATAATAAACCGAAAATAAATTGAAATGCAAAACGATGCGTTTGAATTTTAAAGTCATTTTTGAGAACAGCAACACAATTATAATTAGGTTAGTACAATATTATTAACATATGACAACGACGCTGTTAACCTTTCGATTAGATTTTATAAGCGGAAAAGTACTTCCTATATCTGTGAACATAATAATCAAGTTGTAAAATATCTAATATAATAGAGCATAACGGTTGATACAGTTTAAGCCACCATTCTGCTTTGTGTAAAAAACGATCTACTATATTTGACTATGATGACATATTGTGAGGTTAATTCTCCACTTATACATCTCTTACAGGATACTTATCTTCTATACAAAGCAAAGGTCAAAATGACAAATGACAAACCTAATCATTTACAATTACTCAGTCGAATCTTTCCATGTCGCATTCTATAATATATGGGCCATCAAAACGTTTATAGAAAAATATTACTATATTGATCAGACTATGACTAATACGAAACTATAATTTGTTGATTAGAGATTACAGTAAGGAATACAAAACATGAATGTACTGGTTATTTACCAACTGTTTTTAACGTTACAGGAAAAGGAACAACCATGTCGATTACTGATTACAGTTAAAACCGAATAACTTCGTCGTTTAAAACTATTTAAGGGGGGAATATTTTTTGAAATCGTTGAAAGATAAAATATTTAAAACTACTTTTATTTATATACAACATCAATAGTGTTAAAAATGTTTCAAACTGGTAATCAATTTCATTAAAAATATATATTATTTTATCACGAGAAAGTGAATATAGAAACAAATATAAGACCACTAACAATTGGGTACATGACTAAAAATGTTAGCTACTAGTAGATTTAATGTGTACATCGACTAATTCTTATAGCTCCAATGTTATTTACCTTATTTCGAACTGTTTAAACATACGCGTTATTATTTTACAACCAATAGCAGTAATTAAAAAACGTATCTGGCCAGATCGTTGCAAGTGCGGATAGTCATAAAAAAATCAAGGATTCCCAAAGTGTCGTTAAGGGATGTGAAGTGACGTCAGCGAAAAGCAATTTGTAATCGTAATAATTATTAGGAAACCGATTTAATTTAATTTATGATTATTAACCGATTTATTTTCATAAACAATAATGGTTTTAATTCGATATTGTTTTGTTATTATTATTTTATATGCTAATGCAATTGGTATTATTTATGTTCAGTGCATTTCGCTTATCATTCGTTGTACGCAAGTACAACATGTACCTGCATGTTTAGAATTCTTTACAAAGACACGTTTACCTATATTATAAATATTGTTATGGGCTGCAGTGTTGACTAAGAGCGTAGTAAAACATAATTGTAATTAAAAAAAACAATTATCGTTATCATGGATGATAATAAAAATATATAATTATAATACGTCGGTCGTTTAAAGCCTAACCCCTCGTAGGATCAAAAGGTTCGTTAACAGTGTTATTGGCGTAGCACTATTATCTCGAAAACCTACTACGTATAATTTGTAAACAATTATAAATACTTTTGCGTTTCCACCGCATTGGTGGTTACTGAATTCCAAATTTGGAATAGACAAACCGACAAAACATGTATACAGGTATAATGGGTGCTGTGCGCTGTATATGGGTCAACATCAGCTGCAGCTGTAGGAGGAACACCACCCCGCCCCCATACAACATTGCTATATTATTATTCCTAGTTTTTTAATCTTACTACGATACAAGCGCTCGACTAGGACGTCGGTAGGTGGTAGGCGGCGTTAAATATAATTCGGTAACGCGTTGTATTAGCACTGTACTAATATTGAATCTATCGCTAGGATACAGGTAAAAGCTGCGGTTCGGGTAGTGCAATAATTGTCGGGGTGCGTTTGAAATGAGTATATATAATGTCCATTGCCCTTACCTCGCCAAGGGTCCGGATCTCTTGGCCTTTTGTATGAGAATTTTTTCCACCGCGTTCAGATTGCCGGTTTTGGCGGCAACCACCAGGTCCTGGTCCTTGCCCATGGCCCAGCAACCGCCCGAACCACCGTCGAACGTTCACACCCACAACACTGCGTTTGGTTCACATATTAATATTACCTGGCATGTCCGCCGCACCAACGGTCGACCGTCCGACCATTACACCAAAACAGCGTTCGTGTGTCGATTATTATTATTACCGGACAAACGCACGATTACCCACGGGCACCGTACTCGTGCAATAAAATTATATTATCGTCTGGCAAAAGATACCGAGTTTTATTATCACTACCGTGTGTAGTAACACAAACACGGCCGCCACCACCACCGACGATCGATCACACGGTGCCCGCACGACGGGACGGGCGAGGTGGTGCAATGTGCCCCGGCGCTCCCAAAGTCAGCTGTTCGTCAATCGATAAATGCCGGAAAATTAACTAAACCCTATTAAAAAATTGCCCGTACGCCGCCAATAGTGTTTTTTAACATTTTCAGTACAATCGTTTAAACGTTCCAGGTTCGTTCAACCACGTCCGGTGCGAGTTATTGTCGAATTTTCATTATCTTTGCGCCGAACCCGTACAGTGCACGCCGGTCGCACGGTAATACCGTACGGATTTTATGGCGCGCACGGTCGTTCGACATTTTACAGTGTTGCCAGATTGGCGCGTGAAAACTGTCGTGGTCCAAGTGCATTTATATTATCATAAAGAACCTACTTGAAATATTATTTCAAAAACATCAATGAAAAATGGTTTCATGTAAAAATATGTTTTAATATGCCAAAAAACAAAAGGACATTGTTAGTTCTAATAAGCGTTGAGAACATAATAACTATAAGTAGTTTAAACAAATCAATTTTATTTTAGTGAAATTGTTTTAAATCTAAAAAAAAGTATGATCAAAAATTTGCTTTTGAAAATAAATTCATTCTGATCTTTGTAGATCTCATCATTTAGATTTAGACTTGAATTTTAATTTTTACATTATACGTTATACACTATAAACTATATTTCATAATTTCGTATTCTTAAAATGTACAACGATATTTTGTGTAGATTTTTTAAATTTTATTTAGTGAAATATGTGAAAATATTTTCGCAAAACGACAAGGCAGCTCTTATATTGCAATTTATGATTTTTATTTAGATTATAAATATTATAAATCTTGCCTAGTGAATATCTTTTATACTTAATTTTGGTCGTACATAGTTAACAAATATTTGCTTACATAAAAATCCGCGCTAAATTTCATTAATGAGTAATATCCGTCACCCCATTATATTGTAATATTGTATTTAATGTGATTTGCTATATTACAATATGTCATAATATGTGTCTATATTTACCAATTAGTCCACACCAAATTGTTTTTTGCACTCATATTAATGCTCTTGTAATTTTTTACTAATTTTTAGTTCTCATGAAAGAAGGCTTCTTTTAATTTATTAAATTGTTGTGATGCACAGTGATGGTCGGTGGACGAGATGCAGTTCTCTTTTTATAATGTACTAATTCTTAATTTAAAAAAAAAGATCCTTATAAAACGACAATTTTTTTTTAAACTAAGTTCTATATGGCTCGTACTGTTAGGATATAATAATATATTCTCTGTGCTGGCGAGAGGAGTAAACGCAGAAAACATGACAAATTTTTTTTCTTTATTATCTGCAACAGATTTATATTTGGACTAGTCGCACTAAGACGCGCGCGGTAGCGGTTTCGAGTCCGTTCACCACAATGGACTTTTTGCATTTTTTTCAACGGGTTTTTCAGTGTTTTTTTTTAACGCCCGCTAAAAAAATAAGCATAATTGAACGCAACCATATTATATAATGATTACATTCTTACCAGAAGTAGCGTGACCCACAAGGTTTTTTTTTTAATTGAAAATATATACTTTATTAATTTAGATTTACTAAGCTTTATATAATTATAGACTTGTAATTTCTTACAATTAATTTAATAATGTTTTAAATGGTGTCCGGGGCGCATATAATACAAAATCGCAAAATTATAACAATATTTTTAAACTTCCAATAAAATTAGACCTCATAGATCTCTTTTTTTATTAATTACGAATAATATAAGTTAAAAAATATACAAGTTAGGTACCTAATATTACTTTATAACTTTTATTATGTCGCACACACTTTTGAACAAAATCGATACATTTTTTTTTTTTAAACCCTTGTTGATATTTTAAAAACTTTCATTTAAAATTTTACTAGATCACTATTACCAATGATTAATAAAATAAAATATATTTATTACGTACATATTATATTTTTTGTGTACTCAAAGTAGAATGTCAAGTCAATAATGTCAATAACAATTATAATTGAAACTATAATACTGTACACATTTTAAAGCACTTAAATGGAATACAAATTTACTACCTAAGAAAATAGGCAACGACACTAAAAATGAATTATATATTACATTTATTTATTATACTTACCTGGTATTTGACAGTATGTCAATCATCGACAGGGCTGTATAACTATGCAAAGAACTCTGCGAACGCAATTATTTGAAGTTACTTTTTGGAAACTCAAAGTGTTATTGCGGAGCGGGTTTTTATTTCCAAGTGAAAGAAGTGAACTTATACAACTTTTGACCTTATGGGTCAACGGTTAGTCTAACGTTAAAAAATAATCTTGGTTGCCATCATAAAAACTTCATTACACTAATAACTTTTCAATGGAACAGACAATTACTTTTTTTTTTAATGACTTTTTAAAATTAAATTATTGTTAAGTTATAATGAGCTTCTTAGCCGTCTCCAAAAAAAAATTAAAGAGATTTCCGTCGTTGTTATTATTATTATTTTATAAATTTCTTTTTTTTAACCGTTATAATGAAATATTAAGAATAAGTACCTATCTTGTATACTCGTACAGATGGTATTGTTTTTATACAACAAGGAGATATTAGTGTCCCTATATTGTTATCAATTGTTCATCTTCCTGACGATTATTATCCTTAGGCAGATATGTAGGCACAACAGTATTTTTTAAATAAATACACATTTTATTTAAAATTTATGAAAATTGCATTTATTTCATAATATATAATATATATTATACACTTATTGCAAATCATCGCGAGATCGATCTACAGTATAAAATATATTGTAATGTACAAATTGCAAATAAATAATAATAAAAAGAATGATATAAAATAAAATAAAATCTGATCACTTTATAGCTACAATCTATATATTTTTATTGGAAAATGTTGTCAGATACTAAAGACTTTTTTAAAATTAAATTACCAAACAACTGTTTTGTTAAAGTAATAAGACTACAAAATAAAAAATAAAAATAAGTTAAACTGTGTTTATATATGTATATATTATATTCAATAATAATATAATATAAAACTATATAGGTCCATAAATTAAAGAAGTTCTGCATCTGCGTAGTAATATATTTAAATGATTTACACAATATCCTATATTATAATACAATATATCTATGTACAACAAAAAAACGCGTTTGGATTTTACAATATATATATATACGTATAATAATATGATACATAAAAAATAACTATATTATACTTATGTTTAAAAAATCTTGTTATAGAAAATAAAATTGTGCACGCACTATGCTATTAACGGTGGCTCACCTATGCCATGGTCGTCACTTCCGGATTTACTGCAATCTAGACCAATAAGTGTGCTCCGGTGCTTGGCTCAACGGTATTTGCACCGGCACTGATACTCCGGCAGAAATGACTCCTAAAACCAAACGCCATACTTATTTTACTGACAAGTCGCCAAGAGCAAAACATATAAGTATCTAAGTATACTATCGGAGAAGACAACATTTTTCGCTCGAATGATTTTTTAATTTATCTTCCAATCCGTTTGCTTTGAAATAAGTGCAGTGAGAAACTATCCACTTAAATTATGTTTTTCGCTAATCATACTGATACATAAATCTGTCATCGACTAATAATCATATTCGAGTAACGCCAAACTCTGTCTACCGTACACGATAAATAAAAACATGCATTTTCCTGTGTTTCGAATGATTTAAAAAAAAATGAAATTTTTTTTTTTAACTACCGAGTATTTTGACTCAACAGCATTGGCGGAGATCCGGGGGGAGCTTGGTATTCTAAGAAACCTTAAAACATAAAACCAATGCTTTTTAAAATACCTAGCCTTTTTTTTAGTAAGAGATTTGTTGAAATAAAAATAAATATAACATTTATTTTAAGTTTTAAGGTTTTTAGAATCTCGAGCCCCCCCCCCTGATCTCCGCCAATGCTCAACACGGAAAATGTAAAGTAAAAAAATGATAAAATTGAAAATTACCTGTGCCTGTAGCTCCAGGGGATGTGTTGGACGCGTGATGTGTGGACGTTGGGTAAGCCGCGGGGTGCGTGTTGGCGTTGACAGAATGAGCGGGTGCCGGCTGACACGGTACCCTAGGAGTCGAAGACACTGGATGGTTGTACAGCGAATCCGGTGGAGGGTGATGGAACATGTACGGGTAAGAGCTGGCCGGGTGATGATGGTGATGGTGATGGTGGTGTCCGCTCGTCACCATGCTGGACATGGAACTGCACAACCGAACAAAAAAAAACACACACACACATAATGACACAAATATTTTTTTATCCAACATAATTATTGCACTAATAGCAGAAGCAGACCCGACAGACACACAAATCATGTACGACTAGGTCTAGACTACATTAGAAAATGGCTTACGTGCAATATTATATTTCGCTGATTAATATTTTTGGAAATTTTTCTCGAAGACTTACCCGTAGTTATCGGTAGGCATAGTGGCTATCGGCTGAGAAATGGATTGATACATGTGATTGAAACCGGCGGCCTGAATGGACGACAGCCGGTTATTATGACCTCCAGGTGCCGCAACCGGACCTCCACTACCACCTCCACCAACACCTCCTCCGACAGGATTGGAGGACGACACAGCCGGTGGACTGACCGAGGCGGACGACGAAGACAGTGCGGCCGGTGTGCCGCCATTTTGCTGGTCTAAGCTGCCTCCCCTGCGCTGATTCCTTAGCTTTTCCTCGCGCCTCCATTTCGCTCGCCTGTTGCTAAACCAAACCTAGAAACAAACAAAAACAAAAAACAAAATTAAAAAATGATGATTTGATTAGTTTTTGGGTCATTCCATAGATATATTATATGACATAATATTATGTTTCTTCTGAAAGAATTTCCAAAATCCCATATAGCTTTCAATACAGTTTCATTAAAATATAATTTTCTAAAGTAAGGTCGTTTTTCCTTGCCTACAGTCCACACTGACCAATGCGATCTAATGCATTTAGCTAATAAACAAACCACTTGAAACGTACTAGAGCTCTTTTTTTTCTTGTACACTACACACGCGGCCATGAGGGATGATACAGTTCGTACGTTACTATGTGTGTGTGTGTGTCCATTAGGAATTATTACAAACGGTCGTCCCATTGACGGTTTCTATTTCGATTGTACATACTGCCCATGTGTCTTTAATATTATTTGTGAACCATTCAGCAGACTCACCGGCGTGTAAAAAAACGGTCAGTAGTGTAGGCGCACAAATGTATAATTTATATATATATATATATATATATTAAGGCCACGCATTTAGCAAAGAACCTGTATACACGAGTAGTATTACATCAATTCACTTTGTATGTATTTTTCTAATTTAGCTAATGACCCAAATATATTATTAATCACTCTAATTACAACAACGGCAGCAATAATATAACGTAGGTACCGACGGCTGTATCGACGTGTTACACTATAACACCAGTAGAGCCGACGGCAGCAATTTATTTCAATATAAAATTTGACCAAATTTACCACTTGAGATGTTTTTTAAATGACTCGCATAATCGTAGTACTAATAAACGTAATTATCATTCAAATCCAACAATTTCATATAGTATATTATAATATAATATAACTAGTATACCACCGACGTACCACGACCGTGGGGTCAACAGTACAAGTAAAATAAAAATTGCAAAATTCTGTGCAGCTACTTATTTGCTTCTGAGTAACCTGATATTTTATGGCGTTTAATTTTTCCAATATTGCCTTTAACAGCAATTCTGCTCGGCCTATCCCCAAAAAAGGAAGACTTTGGCAAATTAGTTTTTACTTTTATCGCTATTCGAGTTATCTATATATACTGCACACCACTCCTGCTGCGTCCGACAGGCTCATCTCGTTGGACGCGTGTATAGCACACCATTTACCTAGTATTATAAAAAGAGCGGGGTCGAAAACCGACCACGACGGTCCCTATGCGCTTGTTAAATTTATGTCCACCCCCTCATTCGGGGGTGGACATATGGGTTTTTATTGCCTTTGTACGAGGGCGGTTCGCTATTAATCAGCCACTTTTTTTTTGCGAGTGTGTGTGTGTGTGTGTGTGTGCTATTCTTCCTCTCACGATGTCCGGCAGCGAAGAGGACAATTTGCCGACGATCAACCGTCAACCGACGGGGCGTGTGTGCGCTAGCTGGTAATTGAACTGTCCCCAATGCAATTGCGCGGCACAAACATATTATTTTTTCTTCCCTATCGCTCGTTAATGTAATAAAAACCCTACCCCAGCCGCAGTACTAGTCGTCTAGTATAATTGCCTTTGTTCAAATTACCTGTTGCGGTCTATATATGTACCTGAATCTTAATAAAAAATAATGTATTTTGGCGCGGTGACCTGGCGATTCGACGGTTTTCCATGACAATCAAATGTTACTAACTTGAAAACGAAGTTTAACGAAGTTCTGAATACGTTTAAGAGATCATATTATTATGTAGGCGGAGATACATTGTTATGAAAATAATAAATAAAAGAAAGTGGGAACATCTCACGCTACCGGAATGCCGCTGAGCTATGTGAGTATACACACAATGCAGTGAGGGCAGTGGCGACCGGCAAAGGCAGCCAACCGCAGGCGCACATACCCATAGAAATCCCAACAGGGGTGGTTACCCCCTTTTCAAAATCAATACCTCGCCCTGTCCGTGGTTTTCATTGTCGCCACCACCGCCGCCGTCATCCGCGTGGAAATCTCGAGCAAATATTTTCCAATCGCTCGGAGCTTAAGTAAAATATTTTTTTTTTTTGGCGCCCCATCGGGGTCGATGAAAATTTGTTTTTTTTTTTCTAAATCCAATAAAATATCGGTCGAAATAGTCAAAATTGCATACTGTGCAGCTATATAATATATTAACAGTCTTAATAACGATAGTGTGTGCTAATTACCTGTATTCTAGCTTCCGGTAGAGATATATTGTCGGCCAGCCTCTCTCTGGCAAAAACGTCGGGATAATGTGTTCTCTCGAATTCTGAAACACAATACAAACGAAATTAAATAAATCACATTGTATTGGCGTTGAACGGGTTTTTTTACAAAATGCGACCACGTATAGATAATTTACTGCCGAGCAAGCGTAAGTATATATATACTATGATAAGCACTAATAAAGGAGCAAAGTTGTGTGAAAGTTACACGCGCTTTAGAAACCGTTTAAATTTAAATCTAAAACTTTTGTTGTGAACGTTGCGCGGTGTAATAATATTAATTTTGAGACGTTAGGATTTACTTTGAAGTGTTTAAAACAATGATTGATTATTATACACGCTTGACGAGATAAATATCTAAAGCAAAATAAATGATTATGTTCAAAGTTTAAGTTTCCCTCTTATTTACCTACACAGCGTTCGTCGAAAATCTAATTACTATATAGATTAACTTCCGAGAAGTTAATATTTATTATAATTTGTTCTATCAATAAATGGAATTTCGCATAATAAAAAATTGCTTATCCGTCGATATTTTATTTTAGTCCAAGACTTAATTAAAATTGTTCAACGGTTTACCTACACAGCGCGTTCGTCGAAAAAGTAATTACTAAAAATTAACTTCCGGAAAAGACAATCATTTATTGTCCGCTCGTAATGTTTTCTACAGGAAAGGGAATTTCTCTAAAAAAATAAAATTGTTTATCCGTCGATATTTTAGTTTAGTCCAAGACTTGATTACTTAAATTACAACTTCCAATTATTATGTGTGCCGCGCGTATTTGAAATTAATCACAAACCTTTTTCTAAACTGTCTATTTGATCGTTGGTGAAACTCGTTCTGTTTCTTTGTAATTTTCTTTTCAGTCTAAGTCTTAATTGCGAATCGTCATCCGCCGAAGAGTTGTGCTCGGAATTGCCGTCTGACGTACTTTCAGGCGCCAGTTCAGCAGCTAAACAGAGTACAATTAATACAAAATAACCACACGCCGTTATCCAGCACTTGATAGTCAAGTAAACTGTATGTAATATATTTTGTTATTTTTTATTGATATCGTCCAAATCACCGACCAAGTATATTCCCATTATATAAATGTGTTAAATGTGAGAATTAATACGTAGCGTTACAATTTTTTTTTGTATTTCATATCTCCTTATAATTTATACTAAACATATTATGGCTACTATTTTGTATACAGCGTTTTGCATATTTTGTTTTTTTTTTTTGGGGGGGGGGGCAGTGATAATACCTATACCGAAACCCCTATAATGAATAGCGAGTGAGTAGCTTTCATAAATGGAAAATGCGACTAGCTATTCTTGACACGGCCCGTTGGTAAGCATTGCTAAGCTGACACGTTTGGTATGTTTTGAAATCTACTTCTCGGTCGTGTTTAATATGAGGCATCTAGTTTCAAAACCAGCCCTAAGACATTTTGACAACGTTTTTGTTTTTAAGTCACCACACAGTACATTGCATATGTTAGGTAAAACTGTTATTGAATATCAAATAAAGATATTATAACTAATTCAAACTGTGCTCGTTTGAAAATCTTGGTTGGTTTGAAAATCTGAAGAAATTATTTGTTGTTTGTGAACATTTTCAAAAATTGTTTTTAGCTGGTTTTGAAACTATAGGCGCCTCCTCATTGCATAAATAAGGAACTTTCGATTTTTGATCGGCATCAAAAGCCGGGAAAAGCTGGGGAAGTGTCGTTCTCCTCATTCTCGGGGGCGAGACACGATCAATCGGTATAAATAGTGCGTGTGTACGGTGTTGTATTCTCTTGTACGGTTATTACACCGTCTATAATATACCTACCGGTGTGTACATATATATGTATACGTAGTGTACACGGTACACACACATAACTCCAATGTATACAGAGTGTGCGCAAGTGTTGCGTGGCGCGTGTGTGTACATTATAAAAAGGGATAAGAAGGGCGAGGGCGGTCCGGGACGAGCCTATCGCATCCCGAGGGTTGTGTGCTCCGAAACGGAAGACCTGCCCAGTCATTGTGTCTGTGTGTGTGTGTGTGTGTGTGTGTGTGTGTTTTGTAGGCCGTGCGAAGGGAAGAGGGGAGAGATAGGGCAGAGTGTATATTTTTCATTTATTTTTTTTTTTGCGATGGAAGCGCCGAGACTACACCGGCGTTACCGGAAAATAGCGTACCTATAACCTAGCCGTGTTCGTGCAATAGGTGGATGACCTATCTTGCACACATTGAAGGCCGTTTTTTTTAATTATAATTATAGTCTAACATTTTATTAGGTTTAAAACACCATGCGTTTATCGACGGCCGATATTAAATTAAAAAGGTTTCGATAAAACATATGAAAAACCTCCGCAAATTTAGAGAAAAAAAAACTAATTATTTACACTTAAATAGTGCAAAAAAAAACCACTCAAATGTTGCTAAATTTGACTCGAATGCTATTCGCGTAGTTTTTCTTATAAAGCATTCAATCGCATTGATTGTTTATACATATCACATATTGTACTTTGAATTTAACATTTCCAAATGAGACTCTATAGAGAGATAATTACGGTATTATTTATTTAATTCTACGAACAGAAATTAATTACATTTAGTAAAGAAAATTAACGATTCGAATTAATTCGTTGGGAGTATTTATCTATAAATCTTTTATTTATGTCTTCATTACGTCTTAATACTTTTATAACATTTAATTTTACTGTTTATATTTGTTTGTAGGTATACCATTTATGTTTAATATTCATAAAACTGTTCTTAAGAAAAAGATATCTGGAATTTTTTTTTACAGGAAAGAATCAACAAATTAGTATAAGATTTGTTTATTTTAAATTGTAAAAAATGAGAAAAATAATAAAACCACAGCGCAAAAAAGCACGATTATATATACAATATGTTAATAAATGTAGTAACGAGTTAATCTGATATAGCTGTATAATTTTATACAGATTTCGATTAGAATACTATAGCGGCTAATGGTTGATATACTATTTTCCTTGGACGTCAACCCCGTTTTAACAAAATTACTTTTTTAAATAAGATCAGGAGTTTTAATCATTGGAACTCAATGATACCAAACGTCTCAAGTATTAAACCCGACAACGGTTGATGGTCAAGTTTTTAATTTAAAACAAAATACAAAATAGACACTTGGAAAATTATTGCAAGAGGGCTAGGTACATATTATAAAGTATGACAAAGTAATATTGAAAACTTCGAATTTCTAAGTCAAAGCCAACAAAAATGGATTTACGATAACACGTTTAAGGACTGCACAACGGTGTTTTTTTAATCCAAATAGAAACTACTAAATACTTTTACTAGTCCTATTAATAATTAATAAGTTACTAAATACTTTTATTTGATACTAATAACAAAATAAGCTGTTAGTATAATACAGTTTGTGCGCTCACCTCTCCGCTGAATGTCATCCCGGGACACGGTGAGGGACGCCGCGGTGGCGGCCAGAGACGCGGCCGCCGTCGTGCCGGACGGGTTACCGGGATGGTGACCGGTGGACCCGACTAAAGCTGGATGATGCGGCGACGGCGCGCCGCCGTGCGCGCCGTGACCGGGCGGAGGCGGTGCCGCGTACCACGGCCATCCGGTCTGGCCGTTGAACATGCGCAATTTGTCGTAAACCGATTCGGCCGTGCCGCCGGCACCGCTGGCACCGCCGCCGATGCCGGACTGGTGTGCCGACGTGGCCTGGTGTTCCTTTTGCGCCGCCAAGTTTCTCAACACCCGGTTGATGGACGACACCTGAAATAGAAGAGACGGTAAGAAATAAGAAAACGTTTTAAAAACACTACTATAACACTACAGTAATCATCACAATTAACCCACAGCCGCGCATGATATATTTTTTTTTATTACCTACACGTAGCGTGTACAAACATAGCACGCGCCCGATCAATATTACACGCTAGCAGATCGTACATAATAATAAAAACGTATGAAAACGGTCGGTCGAGTGAAAAATGTGCGGATAAAAAGAAGAAAAAAAATTGTTTAATCAGTTTGTTCAGCGCACGGCCCGCGTGCATTGTCCGTGTGCAAATCGGTGTGTTAATTTGGACAAATGCGCTCGAAGGGGGTGGCCGCCACCGCCACCGCCGCCTCCTTCGTATAATGAAGTATTGGCTGGCCAAGTCATTGAACAAACACAATAAAACAAACATTCTGCGTTAAAGGAAAGCGTTTTAAAAATAAAAAGAGAGACCCGAGACAACGCACAACATTGGCTATATATGTACGAGTACAACATGCGGTAATTGCGAACCTTTCAAAAAAACAAAACCAACAATGAGGGGAATGAAAAATATTTGTTTGTTTTTCAAAACCGGATCTGAGTTTTTTCTTCCTCGTCCCTATACGCTTAAGAATATTATGCCTACGCCCTACACGCAAACGCCGTGCAGTCGGACGAACAGCAATGATTTTTGATGAAGTTTTCTTTATTTCTGTTTTTTTTTTAATCTTCGTGCTAACCCTTCTGGGGTTTTAAAGTTAAAACAAAAAAAACCCATCGCGGTAGTTGAATAAATATTACTTTAGGTCGCGGTTACGGAGCTCGACAAATAGAACATATAATTACACCGAAAAAGTTTCATTAAAAATAAAAACCATTTCATTTTGTAAAAACGTTCTCTTTGGAAATGATTAAAGTACACATAAAAAGAAACAATCCGTAACGTTTAATGCGTTTTTATGCCCAAGTACTCATGATGATGGATAGGCAGTTTTAAAGGATAACATCAAGAGCTTAATAAACATTAACATTTTTTACCTTTTGTATTTTATGTACACGTTATAACTAATTACTTTGTTCTATTGTAATAATATTAACGCTAAACAACATATTGTATTTAGATACGCACGTTTACACCTGTTTTTTCATTTTATTTTTGAATACTAATGGTTCCGGTTATGAACACCTAACTAATCTAACCGCGTTCAACTTTTATGGAAAACCTGATACCGATATCGGTCTTTGGACGTTCTTCTCATATAATTTTTAGGTCTCCCGCCACCTTTGGGTAGGACACATAATATTATACAGAAACTTGTAAATTATTTATTTAATCTAATGTTATACAGGATGCTTCCAAATTCATTAAGGGCAATTCCTTTACCTAGACACACCGTGTACAGGAGAATATTCAATGCTACATAATCTCGTTACGGTAGCGGAGAGACGATTTTCCTAAAAGATAACGTTGTACACGCTGAGAAACAAAAAAAAATAGAATTGCTCTTACCGCCCGATATATATAAACCGAGAGAGTATATATATATAAATATATATAATATTATGATATTAGAACCCGAAATGCTTTTTGGACCGTGAAACGTTGTACTCGTTAAGTGTAATTGCGTTACGTAAACGGCGACTGCTGCTGCTGCTGTAAGTCTGTGTAACTCTGCGGGGTTTTCCCGCACTTGCTGTCGCCGCCCGAGGGGGTACCAAAAGTGACGACCGGGTATAACAAGAAAGGTCGGAGGGGAGCGAATTGCCAGTGACAGTGGGGACATAAATCCTACGGGATAAAAACAACGGCTGAGGCTGTGGCCGGGAGAAACGGTTAAATAACAAGTGTAATATATATGGGGTCGTTGTGTACGCCGCCGAGTATAGCTGAGGCTCACGGTAGCGACGTTGAGCGTTTATATGGGCTACAAGGGCCGGAGATGTAGGAAAGCCGGTGCACGGGAAGGACGGGGAGAGGAGAGGAGATTTTGGCGAAAATTAACAACCGACGTCCACCATTTTACCGCCCCCAGGATGCCGGTAACTCTCCTCTGGCGGTTTGACGGAGAAATGTATGCTGTGTATTTAAATACTTAATAATATTAAATACATATAAAAAGTATAAATAAAACTTCTAGTTACTTATATCATACTGGCCATATTTTTGATTCTAAACGCCCGTTGGTTTGTTGTTCAATAAATACAATTAACTAAATATGTGACAATATAATAAGAATATAAAATAATTAACCCCTTAACCACATAAGTTGGCGTGTACACGACTTGGTCTGTAGTATACGCTGAAGTGTACTATTTTCAGCGTTTAAGGGTTTTTTAAATATTTTATTATTATTATTTTTTACTAACTATAAACACGAGTAATGCCAGAGTTCAGAATGTAACATGAATATTTCAGTACATATGAAAAACGATTGTCGATTATAAATTTATAGTATTTTTTTCGTACACAAATATTGGCTGTATTTTTTTGACAGATTTTATTGGGCCTGTTTCCCATGTGTAATATCCGCCGCCGTATTGTTCACAGCTACAGTATCGTCGGCGATAGAAAACAATGTGATGCGGATCATAGTGTTTAATGATATTATATTGTGTCCATTCGCCATTGATCCGTCACACGCGTGTAATTCGTTTAGGAGACGTGAAGCGTGAAACGCGTGCTGAGTAACAATACACAATATATATATATATATATACCTATATAAAATCTGTGACAATGTCACACACAAAGCGGTGGCGGCGATGCGTTCACATGGGACATGGTTTAAGCCGTCAAAGACAGTTAAGTTCCTATCGCCAATATAGATCTTCGTACGTATACTATACTACTATATGAAATGGTATAACACGAGTTTTATCATACTTTATTATGCAAGTACGGTAAACATAACGCAATAAAAACTAAAACATGGAAACATGTTAGAAGGAATTTTGTTGTATTTGTTAATGATTAAAATTTAAAACGTACCTAATAAACCATATTTTCTTGAAATCGTACAGAAAAAAACTAGAAGCCGTGTGATGTAAAATTAAAGTTGAAATCAGACTTTCCTTGTTGATCGTAGAGTGAATTTATATTTCTAATTTCACCGTATTATAATTGTTTTAGACATAATACAATAATTATACACTGTACTGAAGTACTGATCTGGAGAACTCATTCGTATACATTTATATATTATGTATAATATTTTATCATTATATTAAAATAATAATATAAACCGTCGTATTGGCGACAACAATATGGTGTGTTATACATAATATTACAACCGCAGCGTGAAACCGGATTGCGTTTGCCCCGAGCTCGAACTGATATGATTATACACAGCCCCTATGGGGGGGGGGGGGGTGCCGTATCTGTCACATGGTGGTAAAAAAAAAAATAGGGAAAGGGTAGGGGGATTAAGGAAATTTTTGAAACGAAACAAAAAAAAATAACATAAAGGAGGAGGAAACGGTGAATTCAATTATTCGCGACCCGGCTAAAGCTTAAAAACTTGGGAGCACATAACAATATATGTATATAAATATAATGTAAAACGGTTATTGTGGGGGGGAGGGTGTGGGAGGTAAGGGATAGAAGCCTACAGGCAATATTACATGACGACAAAGTTTTCCGGTCGGCCGAGTTTTTGGCGTGTACACGAGTAAATTTAGAAACGGATGGTGTGACATAAGAGAGTCTAGGCTTACAGGGGGGTAACGGACAGGAGAGGGGGAGGTGGCGGTGGCGGTGGTGGTGGATGTATAACGGGATAGATTTTAATAGCATTACAGCTCCGTGTAATCTGGTCGACGGTAATTTGTAATATAATAATGTGTTAAAGAGCGTGTGTGTGTGTTGGGTGCGAGGGATGAATTTATAAAATCTATACTCGCGTATGTGTACATGTATGTGCCTATATAATATGAGTGTGTACGTACAATATAATATGCACGCATAGGGGTGGGGGGAGAATTCATTATGTACCACGAGGCCTGTGCCAGCGCCAGATGGGCTAATCAGCTGATCTTTATTATGGGCGACATTCTTCTGGACCATCCGACTGGAAACGCACCAAAACCGCCGGGGCGAGTGGTTTTGATACGTCAGCCTGCGTTTGACTTGGGACGGGACCGACCGAAAACCGATTTTTTTTTTTAAATCAATTTTTTTTTTGTACTTAAAAAAGTACGTTTCGAAGAGACGGACAATAATATAAATAAGGTTCGGGGTAATCTTGCGGATCGTCTGATGTCGTGCCGACGTTGAATGGAAACGGTTTTTTTTTTTTTAATCTAATAAGTATAACGAAGTCTTGGGTAAAACGAGGACTCCAACGAGTAAGAAGACATCTGACACATCGGCAAGTAAAGACGCTATAGTTATTAATAAAATGTAAGTACAACAACGTGGTTTGTTTCAATTCCAAGTCAGGATTAAACCATTATTACAAGAGAAGTATCTTAAAATTGAATTTTATACTAATTTAAAATAAGTTTTAACGAAATTAAGAAATTTGTTTTCTAGAATTTTAATTTAATATATGTGTTATCCTAAGTATCATTAAGGAAGCCAAAAAACCAACGTGTCTACAATTTCTGAAATGCTAAAAATCAGCTTTTTTACAAATTTGGAACTTGAATGCAATAATGTTATATATTTTTTTCTAAATTAAGGCTAACAAATATTGTGTTGAAAATTAAAAATGTTACGTCCTATTTTTATTTTATAAATGTTAAATTGATTGCAGGGGGTAGTAAGGCAAATAAAGATAATTCAAATTAGGTTATCAAGATGGAGTATACTTTTGTTGTATGTTTTGGCCTATGAAATTAACTCTCAACTAGGCGATTTATCTTGTTAAGTACAAACTATTTCAAAATTTGCTCTGTTGCCAACTTAAGGGCTTAGTTACCTAAGCACGTTCTGTGACTTGTAGCGTTACCAATCTACAATGGAAATCACTGTAATCTCAAGTAACGACGGTATATATTATTATGGATAATGGAGTCTGTTAGTTATTCTATTCAAAACCATATATTCATGTAAAATGATTTTGACCCTTTTAATTAACTGGCGACGTTGCGGGTTTATCCAAAATGCTAATAATCTGATTTTAAATTCCCGCCTAGGGATGACGGACTTTCGAGAGTAGCGGTTTTACACAATAGACGTTAAATTTTGACGAGCCTATTATTTGCGGTTAACCGGGGAGGTTGGCCGACCACGACTAACGTTGAAAAAAATCTCCAGGGTGCTATATTTTTTTGTTGTTGTAAAGGGGTGGGAATTATTTAAAACTAATTGGTGTCGACTAGGAAAGTTTCTTTTGTCCGTAACCATTCAAAGACATTGGCGTCCGACCGAACACCGGTTAGGACTCGAAACATTTGAATAACAATGGGGCTAAATCTCTTATTGCTCGGCTCGCTCTTCTTTAAATAATCTATACAGATATATATACAAATATCCATAAAATTACAGACCCAGACCAGACGGGCTTCGGTATGCGAGTACACCCGACACCGCATCGGCGAGAACCCTAAACAGAAGACTTTCAATCGCACCGCCCGAGAAGGGTGCTTTATTTTTTATTTTTTCTCTCTAAAAACATTACCGCTGACGTTTATGTAAGCCCGGGCCGATGACGGATGACCCGCCGCCCTTCGGGGCTTCGGACACGTTTGACCCCTGGTTCATATCTATAACGCACCACACCACGATGGACTTCCAAGGGGAACTCGGGTCGGTCTGTCGTCGCAATCCGTCAGCCGTTATATTATAGCACAAATAACCTAACCGATGACACGTTTGATGCAAAAGAAATGACAATAACAGCCCGTCTTTTTTTGCCTGAAATTTTTTTTGACGATTTTGTAATTGCAGCAAAAAAACAGCACTGCAAATAATTGTTCAATTTTTCTTCAAATATACACCGTCGACGCCGTGCCGGGGCAGTTTTGTTTTGGAAACAAAAAAAAGCAAGAGAGAGTAGGGAAAAATTGTCTAAAAGGCCGCCCTGTCGATACGGATCAATGTTTTTAGGCTTTCCCCGGTTCGGCCATGTTTTCCCGGCAGCGACGCTTTTCCCGACCAATCGGCAATAATTTTCCACGCCCCGGTGGTCGCCTCGACGATATTTCTTTTGTATGTATTTATTTATAATATATACCTTTTGTTCCTACCATCGCCGCCGTTTCCTCGTGCAGTCGTTTCCCGTCCCCAGCTATGTGTATACACCACTGAGTTCCCTCCAATAATAATACAACACCGGGAAAGGGGGAGCGTCCCGAGATTTTCAGTTTAGAATAATTTATATATTTTTTTCATTTTCCACATCCACTTGGTAAAAAAAAAAAATATGTGGTTTAACTTATAACCGAACGCCGCGCCACGCCAAGATGAACTCGAGCAATTATACCTATTATTACAGTATTTTGCACTCAAAATAATTGAACTTGACGGTAAGCAAAATTAAAAAAAAAAAATAATTAAGAAAAAAGTTTACTTTTTTGTAAAGAAGTGGTAATTAAATAGTCCGTATTTCAACCACTGGAAAAGTGACTGTAATGTAAACAAAATATGTTAAGGAAAAACTTTCAACGTTATTTTGTATGTACAACATGTTTTAATTAAGTTATCAAAATATCTTTAATAACACTTTTAATGAATTTTAAAAATATATATTTGGTTTGTGCTAAATTGGAAGAGGACGCCCACCGCCCTTTTATTAATAAATTAACGCGAAGAAATGTTTTTCAAAAATAGAAAAACCCCTGTTAAAGAATAAAAGATTCTTATTATTAAAAAAAAAAATTCAAGATACAATTCTTTTTTTTTTTTACAGTTTTGTTTTTAATGTAAAACCGGTAGTGTTAGTGTACATACTCTTAGTTTTATTTCAAGGTTAGGGTTATGAAACCTAACCTAATTTCATGTAACTTATAAGGAATGCTTTACTCTATATTGTGTCTGTATAGTGGCTTTATTAAAGTCTCGCATAGTTTGTCAAATTATAATTTATCTTGGTCTTGAACGCTGTTTTACCTTGTGTAACAACACACTCGGCCGAAATCGTTGATAATTGACCCGTTTGGATGGTGTAGTGCGCTTACGTAGGGAGAAAACCGCACACACTCAACAAACAGTCCTGCGGGGTTAAGTTTAATGGCCCACATCCCAAGAGGACACAGCAGCGTAACGGACACTTGAACACGCTCTCTTTTTTTATGCAATTCAAAGATCTTATTATTATTATTATTTGTTTTTTTATATGTATTTATATTACTAATTTTGGTCCTCGTTTTCACTTGTTTATTAGAGTAATTGGCACCAGCACTGGCCCTAGTACATTTTATATTCTGCCAAACGTCCAATTATCGTCAAACTATAGTAACTTACTTAGAACTTTATTTTTTCAACGCCGACGCGTATGTATTGCGCTCAAGTGCCGCGTCCAGGGTCTTTTATAACGACCGCAGAATACATTATAAATCATACAAACACTCAACAGCAACTATGGAACTTATGTTCAAACTACAACCAGTGTACCTACTACGCTAACAGAAAAATATGTTTTGAATTACATAGAAAACAACATTGATGGACTCGATTAATACAACCTATAACTAATGACCGTTTCTTATTTATAGTTATGAAATGCTTATACCCATTTTACTCGACGGAAGAAGCTCCACTGTTTTGGACGGCCAAATGTCTAATACTATACTCGGCCAATAGACGTGTTCTAGACACGAGAACGACAAAGACGGGTTACTCGAGACGGTAATAATGTGAAATCTACTGGCAGATCGAAATTGGCGAAATTCTTACAGCTGCGTTTTTATCTCTTGAAAACATTCGGCCGTTATATACCTATAACATTATTATTCCTGCACTCGTGGCGCAAACCCGTGTATAGGTATAGTATAGATTGTCGTTGCGTTATCGCGTGAAAGCGGGATAATAGCACACAAGTACAACCGTGATAGTATAATATACTTGGACAATATTATAAAGAAGAAATACACAACAAAACATGTAGGACCGGGGACCCGTACAAGTGGCACTCGACGAGCAGCATTCTTCGGCAAGAGGCACAAGAGAGAGACCGGATGATAGCGTAGAAGCGCCTTATGGGTCTATCATATAATATAAGTATACATACAGTACTATAATGTACAATACACGTATAATATTATAGGTTCTTCTCGGCGCTGTCCTTTTTTTTTCCACTACCGTATTAAAATGTAATTCTGCAATAACCCTCACAAAAAGATATAAATAAAAACATGTGTATGTACATACTGCTGTACATATTGTGTTTGGGATTGGATGCGGCGGTCCGTGAAAACTGGTAACAAAAGTCTGTAGGATCGTATGTTTTGGATGGGGATAAAAAGTATATATTTTATTATTATTATTATTATTATTATTATATTTTTTTTTCTGACAAAAGTATATCTTTTTCCTTAAAAACCGTGGGCGTTTTATTGACCGAGTCGATTTGGCCGCACCGCGTTACGATTATAATATGCATTTTTCAACCCCGACCGAATATAAGGCTGCCCACATTGTATAGTCAGCTATACTACAATGGCCACATTGATGATTTCTACATCCGCTTATAAAAACCATAAGGGCGGGTATAAGGACTCAATACGTTGTAACGAAAATCCGTTTTCAAAAATTGCTAATGTAATACAACTATTGTAAATCGGTTATAACTTTTTTTTTTTTTTTACTTTAATTGAATTAAAAAATAAATTTCCAAATTGAATTATTAGTCTATAAAAAAAAAAACAACCAAAATAAACAACAAAAACACAGTATTTTACCAACTAACACCACAGAATAAATTTTCCAGCGAAGCGAAGGCAACACGAAACTCAACCAAAACATATTTATAATAATATATTTATGACCTTACACAAATTGTATTATTGTTGGAATTAAATGTAAAAAACGTAAAATTTTCATTTATTATTTTAATAAAAACGATAGTACAAAATTGATAATGTAGTTAATATTTAGAAATTGAAAACAATCGATTTGATAAGTATTTAGCTTGTCATAAAAAAAATATATTTTTCATATTAATAAAGTCATACAGGCTTGTTACATCTTATCATTGATTTTCACTGTTGATTTTCGTTGAGTATGTGTAAATATATTTTGGTTTGTTGTTTTAAAACAAATAATAATCCCTTAAGGGCAATTCATTTACCGGTGGTGCAACCCCACAAACATGGCTTTTGCAACTTGTGTATTACATTTTTGTACAGTGGCATATATATATTTTTTTTTTGAGGTGGGAGAGGGGATATCTAGTCATTACTTAATTTGAAGACAGTATCTGTAAACACTCCCTTTCATTCCTGTCGCTGAATTAACGTCCGGGCCCGTCCCTTTCCCAAAGGGATACAAAAAACACAAATGATAAGGAACAATTTTTGTTTTTTAGATCCAATTCACTCATAGACCTTAGTAGTCGAAATAGATTTTTTTTTTTTGGGGGGAGAGGGGTTTGTTGGACTATTGCACTATTACGACCAAGTATGAACGAAAAAACGGTTGAATTCCAAAATGTTAATACTCACGCTTGGTATGTTATCGTTGCTGCACACCCCTTCGGACAGCAACCGGTCCCTGATCTCCCACGCGAAGATGGACGGACATTCACGCTTGTAGTCGGCAATCTTGTTCACTACGCCATTGGTGGCCACCCGAGGCTTTGAGCCGCCAATGGCACGCGGTTTGATCGAACCGGTTTCATAATACCTGTAACGTGATAAATTCTATATGAAGACTGACTGACTAGGCAGCGGCGGCTAGTTTGCAGGACAAACGATTTTTTACAGTTTTGTTTTCAACGCTTTTTATTGTGTACTAACATTGAAATAGGTATACGAGAAATACCACTTAAAAAAAAAAATTATAATAAGCATTGATTCGAAGCACCGATAGAAATCTGTTGAAAACAAGTTAGGAAAAAAAGAAAAAGAAGAACCGTAAGTGGGAAACTGGCACTTCAGTATACATATATTAATTAAAATCGCCCTTTAACATGATTTTTAAAAAGTATTTGTCTGTTTTGTGATCTATTTAAAAAATAACCATTCTCATAGTCCCTACTCCCTTGCTATTATTTTTACTTCTAACAATTTATAAGTATAAAAAGCTATTATAATAGCAAAAAAAATCGTAATGATTATTGTTAAAATATGTAATTTTTTAGATACAAACCTGTTTTTAAATGCAACACAATATACTAATCGATTTTCGATGGGCATTTTGATTTTAATGTTTTAAAAATGTTATTTTCAAAGTATTGTATAGACTATTAAAAATATTTTTAATAATTAAACTATTTCATAAAAAATGTGATTTAGTTATTTACTTACATTTTTAAGCCGACGTCAAAAAAATGATCTTCAAAAAAGCACAATTTTATTTTTCCCTTTTTTTGAAAAATTAAAAAACTATTTATTTTTTTGTCTTTTTGAATACCGCGGTATCGAAATAACCCTACCAATTGATATCTTATAGTACTCGGGTATAATTTTTAATTTAAATTCCTTTTTTATTTGGAAAAATTGCCCACGCCGAACGTTTACGGGGTGTATAAAGTCTTTTATATTGAACTATGGTTACGGCCAAAACATACTGAGGGGTGGACCGAGGAGACTTGGTGGCAACGTCATATACTTCTTAAAGGTGTTCGCGATAACTTACCGGCCTAGGATTTTCGACACACATCCGTTGGAGACTTGCAGTATGCGAGATATGTCACACGGCCGGGCACCCGAGTGCGCAAGTTCGACAATTCTTTGTCTGGTCGAGTCCGGTAATGGTCTGCCGTTGACGTAAACGCCTCCCAACTGGTTGATACCGCTGTGACCGGCCGCCGAACAACCGAACAGAGCAGCCGAGCTCTGCACCATCGCAGCGGCCGCCGCCGTCATGTTACAGTGGTCCGAGTCATCTGGGGAGAAAAAAAATTATATTGCACATGTTTTATTATCCCATACATGACGACGAATAATCAAATAAGAATCAACAAATAATAATAATATTACTTATACGTGTATACACACCAAAATATTGTATTATAATAAAACGAATGCGGTCGAGACCACACCGATAGGTGTAACCCCAAGTCAGCAATTCTCGCAATTCTTACCCCACATACACACACACCCAACTCACGGGTGCACATATAGTGTGTATCCAACCGTGACGACAGAAATATTATACCACCGACGGCCGTGGGTTTTTGACACAGTAGCCGTTTTTATTGTTAGCCCGTGGAGTAGAGGGAAGCAAATTGAATCTGTCACTCAAGAGTAAAAGATGCGAAGAGAGAGAGAGAAAACATGGCAACACCGACTGCATGCATTCCCACAGGCATATGTCCGTACTCAGATATTAATTAATATTATGTTTATAAAAGTGTACACTCGTGTGAGTGCAGAGAGAAACCAAGGCAAAGATGAAACGCACGACTCTGGAACAAGAATTCCTTTGAATTTCGCAATTCGTACATTCATTCGATTATTAACGTACCTACTCCTACTTGGGTACGAATTTAAACGAACTTGTGGTCTAAATATGTTCGGTAACGTTTAAAAAAAAATTCCTAATGAAATTATAAAATGTTCCATACAAAAACGTGTTAAGTCTAATAATAAATGTGACTTTTCGTCGATAACTAAATGTAGGTAATCTTTTAACAAAAATAAAACTTAAAAAAACATGATGACATTTTCATATATATTTATTAGCTTCCATACGAAGCTGAGAAAGTATTGGTATTTTAATAATTGCACTTAATATATAATACAAAAAAAAAATGTAATAGCGTGAATTCGAGCAGAAAATAAAATAATAATTGTGTTAATTGATTAATTAAGTTTTTGTAATAATTAACAATTATTTTTCGTGACGAGAAAGTGTAATAAATTGACAAACGTCGAAGGTCATTTGTATGTGTGTACATATTGAAATGACAAAAACCAATATAACAGGTTTTTTCAAGGTGATTATAATGTCGGCTTGTAACGAAACAAAAAGTTTATCCCAATGAAGCGAACCTGTGGCGCTAATTACGTTTGTGGAGAAAATAGCAGATATACAACGACGTTTAATTTTCTAGTCCCTCGAGCTGAGAATGTAATATTATGGATAAAATACAACAACATGGAACAGCTGTAAACTAACGGGGTAATACACAAGAGGCAATGCTGTATTTCGGTCCCTTAATGTAAACGCCAGAGGGCTTCATAAAATCTTCTTAAAGGATTGTCCGCTTTATTTATAACAATTTATAAATATATTTGTATAAAAGAGTTGAAGAGGCTCTATAACCCCGTTCCGGCTGACGTTGTAGGGGTGAGTGTAGGCTTTTGTCACTTGTTACACTCGGTATACTACATGTAGTAGGGACCCTTTGCGTAGGCGCTTCGTCACAATGTTTCTATTTACACCCAAACACATTTGAGAAAAACCGTTTTTATTACTTTTGAATTTCATTTCAGACACTCGAGTGGCAATTGGCTATCGTGCGAGCAACATACGTGCGCCAGACGAAGAGCCCTCCACACACACACACACACACACACACACACACACACACACACACACACACACACACACAAGTAACAACGTCTGCTACTCACATAATATAAACTTATTAACGGATGCAACACAATATTCCATTAACACTCGACGTGTCATTTTATGGTACACAAGTATACATTATCGTCAAAGAAAATAATATTTCGAATAACGTTTCAAGTGGCGAAACATTGCGACAAAATATATTGTAATTAGTTTTTCGATTGCCGCCAAATGATTACACCCCCAAGGAGTTATTATATCCGTCAAAGTTCATCTCGAGTATCTGCAAAAGTGCGAATATACATGCCATTGCAAGCGGGGATGACAAGTGCAAACAGTGCAGGTGCACCTGGTCTCTGGCTCTCTTTGTATATAGGTACATTCGAAAACAAAACAACCAAAAAATCATGCTTCGTCTTCGCGTTACTAATATTTCCTTTTAAATCAGCGCCTGCACAAGCTCTTAAGGACGTTTGTTTGTCGGTTTCGGGATACGGACGACATGTAGCTGGCATATAATATACTATACAATTTTGTTGTCGCTACGATTACAAAACAAAAACGCACCTCGAGTAAGTAGTGAAGTTTTATTACGACACCCCCATATTGCTGCGATTAGGGAACCGCGAATAAAAAATGGTTTTCGGTTAAAATATTATATCACAGCGAAACTGCATCCCGGAAGACCGGTTGTGCGAACGTCGGGAAATTTATAATCTCCCCCGACGCCGTCGTGCCTCGAGTATAATAATAATATAGCTGCGGTAAAGCAAAGACTATATAATGTACAAGATCTCGGGTGATCTCTTGGCAATTGGGGGCGGGGGGAGGAAAGGGCGTAAAGTGTGTGTGTGTGCCGTCCGGCCGCTTCGGCTCGTTGCCAGGCGGTGTGGGAAAGCGTTTTTCCGGCAGCACTTCCGGTAACCTCTACCCCCCCCCCCCACCTTCGTGTACGCCTGTACATCGACTGTATTTGGACAAAAATATCCAACGATTTGGGGGCATGAGGAGCGAGGGAAAGGCAAAGGGGACCGACGTATCCAGGGCAACGCGGCCAAAGCACTACAACGCACGCGCGCTCTATCGTGAATTTAACGACCCGACACCTCCGGCCGACGACCATGACGACGCCGTGCCCGTCCTCACACACAAAACGTATGCATGGGTGTAAGTCAGTTGACGACCTGGGCGCCGGAAGAATATCACATTATCACAACCCCTTCGTCGGTGGCCAAAAGATAGTATTAATGTTGTTATTATTGCTAACTATTGCCTACTATACATCAGTCAGCCCGATAGTGGTCAGAGATAGGTATTTAATAATCTGGGCGATCCTAGGCGAATTCCTTCAATTTACAAAATATAAATATTTTCGATTTGTAAAAAAATTACCGCCTTTGTTGAATGCCCCCCTGGACAACATACCAATTTTGCCTATACCTCGCGGTACTAGAAAACGAAATTATACGACAGACAAGGGTTGGCCGAATTGCTTGCTTATGACATACCAGTATCGATGAGTATTTATAAACACTACCGGTAACGGTCGGTATACCTAATGAAAATTCGGCATTTACGATAATAATTACCGGTAATTGCGGACGGGCTCCTCATCAGCATTTATGTTTTCAAGGAGAGTTTAAAATGTCCTAAAGATTACCAAACGGTATTTATACGGAAACCCGGGCGAAGCTATGTGATTGTAACTATAAATGTCTGAAAAAAAGATAAAATCAGAAATAAACCAATTTTCAGAGAAACACAAAGTTTACATAGCATTGTTGCAATATTATATCATTAGCATTTATCACATTTTGTTCTCAAATTTCCTAGATAAACCTGAAATGTATATGTTACCAAGTATTTCTCTTTTTTGCAATTAAATTAAATGTGGTTTAAGTATTCCGCCCCTCCCCACCCGAAAAACAAAGCGTACTTTACATTTCTGTGAAAATTGGATGTCGTTGGAAATGTATTTTGTAAAAATTGTTAACATTTTTCTTTTTTTTTGTTCAGTCTCGAAGAAAAATAGTTTTTCCCGGAAAATACCTACATTTTACAGGAATAATTTTCCGGAATTTCGATCACTAGTGTTAAATAAACCGGTAAATGGTAATTTTATAGAATAACAGCCAACACCAATGCAGTATTTACTGAAAATACCTTCAGCCCTAATTGTAAGACAGACCTAGGTACGACAGGACAAACATTCAGGTAAAAATAATTACTTGAGTAATTTTATTTATACAAGCATTGTGCACCATTGTGCTGTATATAACACACTTGTTCAATGTACATTCATTACGATTCTAACTGGAAAACTCAGACTGACAATATTATTATTGCACTTATTTCGACAGTTTTCCGAGAACCCGAGTACGCGTTTCGCGGAAAAAGGGATCTTCGAAAAAACAACATTCATTGAAATAACAAAAAACAAATACTCAAGTTCATATTTATCTTTACCGTCGAGTATAAAACACAACATAGCGCTGTTCATAACGAGATAAAACTCTATTTTTTCTCGGTCTAATGGACATAGCTAATTTTAATCAATTACTTTGTTCTGCTAAATTTGTTTACGGTAGCCTTTCCTCAGCAGTTATGTTGTTTTCTCGACTGTTCAAAAGCTCATTCGAGGAGACGGTCGCTCTTACACTTGTAGCCACTGTTAAAATTTCACTACAATCGAAATGAAATCGATTCATTGGTATTGTTATCGTGTAAACAATAAGAACCGTTCAGTTAAGCAGCATCGAATCATAACGGCATGGTGTCTGTTGCGGTGTTGGCTTAAGCGAATCGACGGGGACAAGAAATACAACACAGCGGCGGTAGGTAATGGAGAAAATAGCGCCGGCATACCTATGCGGGGTATTATAGTGTATACAAGTCAAATCTCACCCCCGCAGCAAAAATGCCAACTGAACGTTAAACACACGGTTGGGGAAATAAACCGCCATTGTCGTCGAGGTGCGATAATCGGAGATGGAAAAATCGCCGAGCAAACCCCTCTGTGATCGCTATGTGTACAATCCCTCGAAAGCCTCTTATATATAGACTACTTAAATATCTATAGGTAACTACACTTTGACGTGCGCCCAACACCTGTCTGTGGAATCCGTCAGAGGAGGGGACGGCGGTCGCAAAGGCCATAACTCTGTAGCAATTACCGTGAAAACACTGTCTGTATAATATCATACAGATATTGACATTTTTGTATTTTATTTGCAACGCACTACCGGTTGACCTTTGACGACCACAATATGTTGGACTGACAGGACTATTAAAAAGCCGTTTGTAAATCTTCAAAATATACATTATACGAGAGTAACGTGTTTTTTTTTGTAATTCCATAGAATATAATACGAGAGGGAGCGGTGTGGCCAATGGGTTCATGTTTCTGGGTGTTTTTTTTTTTAAGCACGCTTACCTGTAGACGGATCCTAGAACGCCGGTTAAAAATTAAATACGTCTTTAATAGGGCCTTAATGCGTTTTCAATAGGTCCGAGGAAAGGATTTTACCTGAACTTCTCTTTATAAGGTGCCAACGGGCTATATATATATATATATATATTCTATTAGAAGTATACAATTATTAAAAAACGGTATTCGCATACCACCGTGAAGTCTCTGCGCATTTCACTTTTTATGAGAAATGTATCAAATTAGCTAGATGATTATGATAAACATTTTAACGGTTTTTTTTTGTTTATTTCCATTTAACTATAAGAAATTTGAATGATAAAAATGTTAACCAAATTAGAATCCGGTAATTCCAATAAAAAACGCCGTTGATTTAACGATCACGTCTTGTTAATTTCAGAACAGCCTTTTCAGATCCTACTTCTAAGAATAGATTAATAATATTCGACCGATTGTCGATTTCTTTAAATGAACAATATTTGTTTCAATCGTTTAGCATAACACAAACGCATTGAACCGATAAAAATGAATAAATAATATCGTTTGTTATTTGCACAAACGAAAATGTTTATCTACCAAAGTTCACTCCGTCGATTTGTTTAATCGAAATTTTAATTATGTTAATTTTTACAAATTAACTATGCATAATACGTATAATGTATTGCCTCCGTCGATATTTATGAAGATTTTAAAACACATATTTTGGAAAGCGTTGGTTTTTGTTTGAATAAAATATATATCCAATTGAGAGAGCCAAACGGGTCAGACACCGCATTAAAAACGATTTCATCGAAAATGCTGACAAATTAGGTATTTCTATGTTTTTCATTCGTCGTTCCAGATTATCCTTCGGTACCGATCTAGAGGGATTGTTGTTTTATCGATATATACGAGTTGGGTATTGAGTATACTATTTATAAATAGATTCCTGCAGCCGCACGGTCAGTACAATAAGTGCAATAGAAGGCGCAACGTAAGGAAACCGGATTACTCGCTCTTGTGATGTCGGAGCGGCATGTCTGTGTGCACGTTCAAAGACAAAGACACAGACGTGGACGAAGACAGGTTACCTACATGTTTTTTTTTTTATATTACCTATACATATATGTATACGGTAAGAAGGTTATTAAGATATTTTAATTTTATATAATAATAATAATAATAATTCAATATTAATATTGTGTTATATATCTCTCTTATATTATACATACACAAATATACTATATACGCTATATAATATACTTATGTGTATACATATAGATGGCGGGTGCGGTAAAAAAAAAAAATAATAATAACGTTGAAACACGATACCTAAATGAGCCCCGACAAATATCTCATAATATTATACAACCGCACACAGTTCGATCCCTTTCGTGTACTCAGTGTCACATGTCAACTGATTAAAACTGGTTTGTGTACTCCTTCTTGTTTCTTCAATTTTTTTATATATATAGGTATTAATAATAATATGTTCTCTATCAAATCTCGTCATTAAAAGCGTCGCACCGCGTTGAACCGATCTGTCGGGTACGGGACAAAAAAAAAATGGAAAAAGTAGATAGTCGACAGATAAAAAAAAACATCAACAACGATTTAAAGACTTCTTGTAAATTTCTATACATTTCAGTCGATCGGATACAACTTACAATATCGAAAATCAATTTATCATGCGGCACAGATTTTAAAGATGTTTTTTTTTTTGTTATATTTTATTGTGTTCATTGTTGACGTGTTAGCGGGACGAACCCGTCTGGAATTATAATAATTAGAACTTGCAAGTCATAATCAAATATAAAAAAAAACAGTTAAATAGATAAATTGAACGGTTAGGATTTCGCATGTTGTAAGAAAAATGGTAGAGCAGAATAGGATTTAATAAGTTATGCCAAATATGTCGACTTGCTTTACATTACTTGAAAAAAAAAATGAGTTTTTACTTCCTCGGTGAAGTAAAGAGGGCGCTATTATCTTCAGTCTATTTATAAATAATTTAACCCCCCCTTTAGACAATATTTTATTTTTAACATAATTTCGAAAAAAATGTATGGGTAATAATAAACAAAAATGAAAAAAAATGTCGACTTACCTTTATGTGGCATTTTCCAGAACGGCTCGTTCTCTCTGCAAGGGAAAGGCCCGAGCCCCCCCACACCAGCTCCAAGCAACGTCTTGACGGACCCCCACGTCCCTTCTCCGTAAAGACCCAACACCTGTAAATTGAAAAACAAAACAATTATTGTCGTACATACACCATTTAATGCAAACACAATAAATACATAGCAAACTAACGCGATTTCAAGCCCTAAGCCGAAAGTAAGCACTTTGGGTGTAATGCATGTCCATAAGAGTGGACATATTTGAATGCATTTAATAGTATTATCGATGACAAAACATAATACAACACATCAGAAACAGTCGACCGCGGCCATATTGTTGAGTTCCGGTATTTTTTTCCAAACTAAATCTATTTAATAGCGAAACCCAAAAGGTACGTTTACCGCAAGAGTTAGCGCCAGAACAAAATTCCAAGAAACCGGTACATTATTTATTATTATAATAATAATATTTTGGTTTCACTTTTCAAGTATACCGGCGGCGGTCCGCGGTCATCGGGTTTGTGTTGCCAACAATATGAAAGGGCAAAAACGACAAAAGACTGCAAAACCAAAATATGGGTTGTATTAAAAGGTAAAAAAAAAAAAATATCCTCAAAAAAATAATTTTTTTCACCTGAATACACGGTGAAGGCATATTGGGATGTTGTATTGTTGTAGTGTCCTTTTGTGAGGTAAAATAAGTTATATTTTCATATTATACACTGACTGGTATTTAGCGGAAAGTATCGAAAATAGGGTTTTTCTACTTTTTACACGGTTAAAATTACAATAAATATGGCTTATGCGAATTCATTTTACAATGCATATAAATATAAATAATAATATTGTTTGCCGCCAAATTAATCCTAACGAGTGGTACAAAAATCGTTTAATTAACACCCGTTCGGTCGTGGATGTCTTTGATTTTAAATATGAGTGTTTGTATTGAAAAAAAAAACAGAATACTCTGCGCCTTGAGCACAAGTTTCGGTAGAGTATTAAATTTTCTTTGAACGCTCATAGAGCGGTCGTTACAGGTTATGTTATACACTCATAGGTATGGAAGATCTATGGAAATAATAATGTTATTTTATGTATTTGAACGGCAAAGCAAGTGGCCACTCGACTTTACCGTGTGATGTTTACGATACCAGTGGCGGGAGATCGTTTAAACATTAAGGAGAAGTATAGATGGGGGGGTGGAGGAGACGGTAAAAAACCTCTTTATACCATGTGATCGGTCACACAACATTTTTTTTTTTTTCACTTCCCTTAACCGCCGCCGACTCTCATTAGCGACTTCAAAAGAAAACGACTTAAGCACACGAGGGGCTCGCTATAACCACCGAGACCGCTATTTGTGTGTGAATAGAGGAAAATAATAATAATTGCAAAGAACTAACCGCAGTCGTCGTAATGTATTTGTTAAGGGGAGTATGTTTTTTTTTGCCCTTTACCACAATCCCTCTAAAAAAAAAATATGCCCAGCAAAGGAATAACGCGCATAATATAATCATATTTCCTTTGACTGTATATTATATATCGTGTAAGTATATGAATTTTCTTTTATACACAGCGATTTACACTAATTATTACCAGCGGTCGCGGTTTTGAATCGTGTTTTGATTATACGAGCGGCACGCGACTACACACTGTGAATAACGGTTAGTGGTGTATAATGCGTGTGTTCTATACGAGGGCGGGACGGGGTAGTGTTGGTGAACATAAACCCATACATAAACTACTTAAATCCTTGCTTTATTTAAAGGGTAGACCGGCGCGGCGGGCTCGATAATGATAATTTCTAATCGGTTATGTGTGCGAGGAACCGAATAGGGTTCGTCTGAAATTTACTCATCCGCGCGCAGTAGGTATGATATTATCAAACGAACAGAATTACTGTAAAATAATGTAAAGGGTGCGACTTTGCCGGCATACAAACGGACAACGCCTTTTACTCATGGTTCTCTAATTTATCAAAAAAAAAAATTATCACCAAAACAACAAATTTTATCACCGTTGTTTTAAACGACAGAACGCGCGAAATGTAAAATCTATATGAGTGAACACATCCAATTTATCCAATGAATGAACACATAATATGATGTTCATGTGAATATATTAACACTGTGTTTGCACTCATCGGACATCATAGTAAACCACACACCTCAGAAAAAAAATTCAACAAAAAGTACAGTATTATTGGCTTAAGACGCTGTTTTCCGTCGGTCCCTAAACATTTCCTATACTCGTCAATGTAAAAACCATTTGTCAGATGAATTTTACTGTAATTTTGAATTTAATTGTTTAAGAAAAATTGAATTTTTATATAATATGAAGCGAATTTGTACCAAAAAGGGTATACAAATGAAATTGTTTTCAAAAACCAGTTTTTATTTGTTATAATAATATAACAACGATAATAAATGTTGGCATCTAATATAGCTACAAACATTTTTTATTTTTATAGATAATCACTACGAGCTCCGCCTTTTCCGACCATAGTGTACCCTATGCTCCGCGGTTACGACCCCTTTGTGGCACCTATTAATATATTTAGATATATAAAGCACACACTGTGAACCGCATAATATACATTAAATGTACTGATTTTATAATACAATATTATATTTTTGTGTACCTACGCCATCGTCGTCGTCGTCGTCGTCAACCCCCTCCGGTACAATTTTTCATTATTATTTTTCGGTGCCTTCTTTTTTATTATTATTACTATACTCCATTGTCTCCTAGTGTGTACATTTTGTAGGCATATAATATCACGTGTATACACGGTGTGGCCATGACAGCCTACATGTATATACACCGCAGTATTTACAATAATGGGAGCAACGAGGAGACCCTGCAATTGGAGGCAGATGGCCGCGGCGTTCGTGTGCATAGAAAACCGCTATAGTAAAAAAAAAAAAAACCCCAACCGTTCTTTTATATTGTTTACTATTACTATTATCATTGTTATCGTTGTCGCCCCCCTCGGAAAACCTAAGTCCCGGCTACAATGTTTAGCTCTATGGTTAGACCACGGTTGTATAATATATAATTCGGTTAAATGTATCCGTTATTATTGCATTGGATATAATATAGGGCGGTAACGCGCGGGAGGAGCAATATACTCGATCGTTGACAATGTAACGAAATCAAAATGACAACAACACTGTTCAATATATTACACTGATGTGGTTTTTCAAATATAATAATATGTGATTACGTTTTAATAGTCTCCCCTTTGGAGAAAAAAAGAAAGAAAAAAAAAATCATCCCCATAGGCTATTGAACTCTATACTACAGTATAGCAGCGGCGGCATCAAACGAAAAGCACATAGTATAATATGTAGTGTGTACACAATTGTGTATAACAGAGTTTGTATATTGCCTCGGGTCGTCGTGTATTTGAAATAACAAATTTAGATCAAATGTGATAATATTGCGAATATTTTATTAAGCAGAGATTTTCGGTTTGAACTGATCGCCGCGATTGTTAAAAATAATATTATAATAGGACTTAGTCTGTACGACTCGATGTGCGGTGAAGTTTTCCTAGCATTTTACACGCATAGAAACAACATACATATTATATACCTAATTGCATTAGTTTAAATTTTATTTCGATTTCGCCAAAAAAAATTAAAAAAACGAGTAATATATAGTTTGTAATTGCAAGGTAGAATTTGTTTTCAGTATTACTATATTAAAAAATATCTGGTTGTTGCGCGGCGGCGGCTATCTAGTTATTCCAGAAAAATCACTTTTCAATTAGATTATTATTTTTAAAAATCATAACATTTTTTTTTTGTTGTAAAAAATGGCATACATCATTTTTTTTTTTTTTTATATCGTATTTGACCTATACGTCGATCGCTCGCATATTATACCTACGTTTTTATCAAGTTTATGTTATAAGTAGGTATAATAAAAACAACAGATAAAATAAGTATGAAAACGTATAGTTAACTTAAACAGAGCAACCGTGTTTTTAATAATAATATTGTAAAGTACAAGAATCGATAATAATTAATTTTGTAAAAAAATAGTAGGTAAAATCCAATTGCAAACATTTACAACAAAGTACGGCTTGTATTAATAGCGTAAGAAAGCTATGTTGTCTGGACATATTTTATTTTTGGAATAAAATCAACAAAACTGGTCGCTTTAGTTAAAATTCACAATAGACGAATACAAACTTTGATCGTTTAGTGTAATTTTTGTTAATTCTGTTTCCGAAATTTCATTATCGACCGTTTACAGTAAATAATAATATCACAATAATGTTGTTGAACGCACAAAAAAATATATATATTTTTATAACAATTACTATTTTTATACAGTAACGGCGGAATAAGACGTCGGTAATTAACCGGTGATTTAATGCGTATGATTTTCGATTTACAGATGAGTTCGATGATGATGATAAATAATACAATACAATGTTTTACTGCGCGGGGCCAGCAGACGGCCAGACACGTTTTAACCGTTTAAAAGGTACACTTTATTAAGGAATAATTTTTAATTTTTAACAGTTATCGATACTCGTAGCACCGTCTAATAAGGTTGTGTAGACGTTGTGTCTACCGTCTAGACTGAACAAGATAATAACACACAAACACATACGCGCATTATACCTAATTAGATGTGTAATGATTGTAGATAATATATTTATATATATATAAACAATGCGTCTGCTGTGTACTTTATACAAATTGTGATTTGTGTATGGCTAATTATATTATAAAAGGCCGACAGCAAACACACAAAAATATTATTTATAATAATATGATGATGATATTATGCGCCATCGATTATCGCACATTGTACGAATATAAATTAGAAATTCACGTTGAAAACATAATAATATTTAATACTATAATGTTGCATAGCTGTTGAATAAATACAAAAACAGAGAGAGAGAGACTGATCGGCCCTGGTAGTGTGTTGATTTTTCGCGATTTCAGATAAGTGCGCCAAAGTTTAATTTTATTTTCGTGCAGGTTATAATATCATGTACGATAAACGAGGTCAAACTCTATAACGATAACGAGAAAATGTAAAATTAAAATCCTTTTTTTAAACGCACAGAAAATACATTATTACAACGATAAGAATAATTTGTGTGTATAAAAAATAAAAAAAAGGGGTATGTTAATAATATTGTACAACGGCAAAACGATTTGTGCGTTGGCATAGGTTAATAAGCTTTCCCGTGGAGCGATATAACGTTGTGCTTACAGTCTGTCTGTACCTAGTTATGTATCTACACAGACATTTGTCTGTGTATTTGTCTGATATTTGTGCGTTAATTATTAAAAATGAAAAATAAATCCCAATAGGAAATCGTACTTGCGGCGAACCCAATCAATTCGTCAATCCGTTTAACGGTGAATGAATATAATATTTTTTAATTAGTCTCCGCCTCAGCAGCTATAGTTACTACGATCGACCGTGTAAACATTTTTGATCGAACAACATATGCGCATACCTGTCGGTCGGTATAAACGATAAAATGAAAAAATCATATATTTGCCGAAACAATACAAAAAAATAAAATAAAATTAGGTATTCGCCGAATTACTTAAAAAACGCATCTTCTGGTAATTATTTTTACAGTAGTTCCTCATAAACTCGCTCGACAACGCATATTTGATGTAAAAATTGTCTTCTAATTAAGGCCGGAGAAAAAAAAAATACATACTCGTATATACTACCTAGCTACAAGGTATAGCAACAGAAAATTAGTACAGTAGTTTTTTTTCACTCGGTTAAATCGGTTTTTTACAAACGGTTTTTTTTTTAGTTACGGCACTTTTGTTTAGCAGCAGGACAGTATATACTGAAAAAATACCGAATCTCGACGATTTACTGATTTTTTTAATTAATCATCTAGACCGGTTCAGTTCATATAAATTAATTATAATTGATTTGTTTTTTGCGGTAAACATTTCCCAAATAAATACAATTTTTTTTCAATCGGTACACAGATAGGTTTACTTGAAAACATCACGACAAGTAAGTTCTAATTGCTTAGTTTGTATACTACTGATAAATCAAAATTTCCTTTTTTTTTTTTTTTTAAAAAAGATAACTTTCCCGGCTTCTTACCAAAAAAAAAACTACTAGAACCCTAAGTACAGCTAAGTAAAGAATTCCAATTACAGCAAGAGATAACATTTTTATTTTTAAAATGTAAAAAAAAAATACATCGAAATGTTTTTAATCGAAAAATATTATGTTCCTATCGTTTTCGCGAAATCGTTTAAATATTAATTTTTATAATTTTTCATCCATGTCAATATTAAAAAATACCAAGAAAATATACGTTTGCCAGTAAAAAAATGTTTACTTTGTTTTAAAAAAATAATTAATACAACGTATTTTTGTGTTGAGAATTTACTACGAATATTTCTTAAGCATTTACTAAAGTCGGGGCCTTTTTTTTTTTTATAGATTTTTGTTAAACATTTAAAAGTTTTGGAAACGCAAATATTTTAACGACGCAGATAATGCAACTATTTGATTAATATTATAACAACAGTGTTATATTAAAAAAAAAAAGTGCTGCTTATTATTAAACTTATGCAGAAATCGGCGTAGTCTGTCACACGCCAAGCGTAAGAAGGTAGTGGCATCGAATCTTTGGAGACAAGTATTTTTGTCTACTTGCATTTTTATTTAGTCGTTTCCGTTATTATATTTTCGGTTAATATTCGAATTGTTTTAGAATAATATTTTTTTAACACGGTATACGCGACGGTTTAAGGGCGAAAAAACTATGGTTATTTAATATTGTTAATTTTCATATGAATTTTTCTATCCGAGAACATTGGAAAGTGATCTACTTTTAATAAGAAATTATACTTATATATTATTAAGATTATTGTACTTACATTTTGATTGGCGTCGTGGACGTTCATGTGATGCCGAAATGGCGAACAATACCGAACTGGCATAAACGGCGGATGTAACGGGTGAAAAAGTGAAGAAGAAAAAAAAACAAGGGAGAAGAAAGCTACTCGAGGGAATCTCGACGAGTACTGCGCCTACACTTGACCTACACAACACCCGTCGGCGCACGTTATTAAAAGCTAAATAGGTACAACAAATCACTTACCAATATTAAACGGTCCGACGGATTGATGCGTCGACCCTCGAGCGCGTTCGCTGCGTCGTTATCGCGTTACCGCGACCGGTTACAAGTCCGGATACCGTAACGAGCCGCCGCCGTACATAAAACAATATTACCGCGTTAATACCGCCGACGACAATGTACTCCGTCCATGTACTTATATATATAATAATGTAATATGGTTTTATTATATTTTATTAAATTATTGTTATAAATATATTTTATCGGTCCGACGACGGCGATATTTTTAAAACGAACCCGTACAATCGCAGAGTTTAAGCGCGGTAAAAACGATTAGACCCGCGGTTGATAATTGAGATTTTTTAAACAATTCTTTTGGAAATTCGACCTCGCACAAACGGTGTTAATATAATATATTATTACACGCATTCACACACTCGCACACACGGTTAGGTATAATATCATATATATTGTGTTATGCGACGATGATGATCGTGTGCCTGCCGGAGTTGGTGAGAGAGGCGATCAACCGAGCCGGACTGCGTGTACGGTTCAATCCACACGACTGCGTACGTCTGGTCCGCGGTGGCGTCTCGCGGGCATACGCGTTCTTCGGCCGGCACTCGCGACACCGGCAGACTCCACCCCGCCTCGTCGCGACCCCCTAGACACCGGTGGGCGGAGTCCAAGGGGCCGCCGCCGCCGCTCTGCACAGCCCTCGCGACGATGCCGCGGTTGTCCGTCGCGCGCTCGGACGGCGGCGGCCGTCGCGACACCGCCAAACCGAGTCTGCCCCATTCGCATTGTACCGGCATACGGGACGCGCGGTACGCTGGCACTGTTTTACATTGGGGGCCTCGTCCAATAATGTATAATTTGGGCTTACACGCAGTCCACGTAATTACGTTAATTAACAATGTTAACTGTTTGACCGTCTCGGTTACCTTTTTCAAATTTCACATGTAAAGGGCCTTACCCAAACTACCCTTAGACTATGTCAAAAAATAAAAAAATAGAAGGAAGCCCGTAAGACAAAACGTCCACGGACAGAAAACGTTATCATTTACAATCTTACTATTCATTAGACTATACAAATAAATTGAAAAATTAATATATGTCACGCTTACGACGTTTACTTCAACAAGGGTGAAAAAATACAGTTTTGTAAAGTTAAAATGGCAAAACTGAAACCCCTATCCACGAACCAAACAGTTATTTATCAATAGTAATTCACGATACGAATATAATTCTTTCTATTGCACCAATGTCCTATATAATTATCGTTTAACAAAAAAATGCTCTAACTTGTTTTCAAAGTTAGACTACTCTACACAACAAACAAATATTACTTGCTTCAAAATATTGTCAACAACTGTTATATTTTAGTCACATTAAAGTTTTATGAATTTTGAATTATTATTTTAGATACTATTTATAGATGTCTAATGAAAAGTATTTGGCCATACTTATCTATTTAAAAAAACTGAATACCAAAACTGTATAAAAAAAATCAAATTACTCAGTTATTAATTGTTTTTTTTTCCATTACCTTTGTTTAGTATTATTTTAAAGCAATTTTTTTGTTGTAATATATTTCTTTTTAAGTATCTGTTTACCAATATTGCTTTTTTTAAGACTTAAAAGTAATAGCATGAAAAATAATAACAATATAAAGTTTAACGACAGATATCTATCATTTCATCTATCATATCATTTCATTTCACGGGTAGGTTTTTTTTGTCGAGCTAGAAAAGTTATAAAGTTATAAAGTTTTACCCTTACTTTTTATCCATGTGTTGTCAAATCCCTCGCGATGACTTTGGAAGGTTGGTCATATTCTTTTTTAGTTAAAAGCTTAGGAATAAGGCTACCCTGACGGCTAACACATAAAACGTTTACCGATAAGAAACAAAATATGCAGCGTAACTTGGGAAATAATAAGACATGTCAAGAGAATAGAAAGAAAGAATACATAAATATTTTTGGGGACGATTGTCTTTACTATGACTTGAACGAAAGTTTAGTTATGTTATAAATTACAATAGTACGTGTTTAATATTTGTAATATTTGATGGTAAGTAAGGCTATACAAATTTTCTCTAGCTTTTTTTTTTCTAAAAAGGAAATAGAGCTCAAATTGTAGTCGAGTGTGTTAACACTTTCAGATTAACCTTTACAGAAATGTTCTGTTATAACAGGACTCCGGGTGTCCTTTTATTGCACATACATTGATATACACATCTGATATTGGGCTTATAACATTGTAATAACCCACATATTGTGTACGTCTAATCCAAGCGAATTGTTTCACTCAACCATGTAGAAATTCAAGTAACATATTGTACATACTATGTATAATATGTGCGCCAGTTGTAACCAATACCGCCACAGTTCCTATACAGAATACAATACAAATACCATATGCAAGACAATATTATAATACTGCAATATTACAGTGTACGAATTACACGGACTAAATGAGTCAACGACACGATACGTGTGTGTTTCTCTGCGATCCGAAACACCGTCGTCCCCCAAGTGCAGCAGCAGCAGCAGCAGCAGCAGCAACACACATCATCCGAATTATGAACACTTCGCATCACACGGGCCGACCGAAGCATACTAATAATAATGTATATAATATTATATGTATATATATACATATTATATCGTGTGTGTTGTGCTCGGCGTCGTTTGTGTGTTAAAAGCGATTTTTCCATACTCATTGCATTTTTGTGTGTGATTTTTGGGGCATAAAGATATGTGGCGTGAAATTCGCAATTACGTATTATATTAATACTTTGATTATATATATATACATATGTGTTCCCAACCGCCGCCATACCTAATCTCATACAGAGCAATAAAAAGTATCTACAATATAATTGGCCCCGGCTAACGACAGCTATACATAATATATTTTCTACGCTGTGAAAGAACGGTAAATGTGTATTCGGCCACACTCCCGTTCACTATATTATTATAATGTGTTATATGGCCTATAGTACATGATATTATTAACATCTACAGGTATGTGTACTTTCGCCAAAATCCCATTTTAACGAACTCCTTCTGGTTAAATGAACTGTGCTTTTGCGCCAAAAGAAAAACAACCTTTCTTTTTTATTATGTATATAGGCCTAAGCGCGTAATGATTCCGTCCACCTTGATCCTCTGCAGGCGTTGACGGCCATAATACTATCATTATAATATGTATCCTATCCGTATCGGCCGGTGAATATTGCAACAAAAAAAAATGTTCATTAGGTACCCTAATAGGTATTTTAGGTTATTATATAACTCTAGGTTATTTTAGGTACAACATTTACCAATAGCATTGCGATTTTCTACCGCTTTAACCGGTGGCATAGCCAAGGTATATTTGCATAATTATTGCGATGGGTATTTTCAAACTTTTAGTTTAAAACAATCTTGATTAAGTTTTCTAGAAAAAAAAATGTATAGTTCACTTCGGTTGTATAAATAAACTCAAGTAATACGAGCAGAATAACTAAAAGATACAAGCAACGGATATTTAACAATATTATACACTATAGTTATTGTAAACACTAAAAAAGTATAAATCAAACGTGCATTTTTGTATGTGTTACTTCATAACACATAGTACCTGCAGGCGATAGACACTTATAATATTATATAATTATATTATACATAAGTACATTAGATAAAACGTAATAATAATTGTTTATAATAAATAGAAGATCGAAGACATGATGTGTCACACATGCTAGTGTGTATGTTTCCCAGCCTTTAACTAAGTAGTAATTATATTAATATTCGAGACTAAGCCGATACGCCAGGTGCAAGCGAGACGAATCCCCGTACTCCATTATATTTTATAATGTTAACATTTTGTTATACACATAATCTTGTAACTCGGCGTAAAGCGATAAAACTATACACACTGGTAAAAGGCCATTCGTTTCTATGCGATTACGCCATAAGAAAAATTAAGGGCTTATGCGCATTAGAAGAAAATATTAAAATACAATTTGTATAATATTATCAACAATTTTTAAGTCGTATTTTTAGCAACAAAAAAAAAGTATTGAAAGCGAAAAGATTTAAAATAAATAAAAATAATTTATTGTAAATGTATTATTATTATTATTATTGCTATAAAAAAACAATATAAATATTCTTAATAGGTATACGTGTACTCATAATATATGTGCAATATGAATAATTTTAAAACTTTTTATTAAACGTATAATATTTTTCTTAACAAATTAATACTAATTTGTAATTGCACTTCCATGAAATTTTTTTAGAAGTAGCCTTATAGATAATTATACAAGGAACATGCAGGTAAGTATAATTAAAATTTTTTGAAAAAACAGTTTGGGGGGGGAGATGTTGACCCATTTTTAGAAATTTAGCTGAAAGGGGTGGTTTTTGTATGTTCGTTAAGGGACCCCTTTAATGATTTTCCAAAAAATCTCACTTGTTATGTCGCCTACACTAATATTAGAAACATTAAAAACATATATTCCATCTCGGCACACTCGCAATTGCTTTAATTTGAACACCGTGTAAATTAATATAGGGATTTTTTTTTCAAACAAACGAATAAGTTGTATGAAATGTATACTAAATTTTCCAACTGGGTTGTTAAATCTTGATGGAATTTGTTAGTTTGAAATAAACTAGCCGCGGATTTATACTATTGGGAGATATTATTGTGTGTTGACGGTTAAATTTCCATTTGTAGTTTTGTTCCCTATAAACTTCAATAATCCGTCATAGACTTACACACATCTTCAAATCTAATTCGAGGGAAGTTTTAAACGACAACCGTTACAAAGTTAAATTGCTTTAAACTTCGTATAACCGCATTGTATAAACTCGGCTGAAACTTAACGTACATACAAAGTAAGTGCCAATGACTATTTCCAACAGAGTTGTTAGCTAGTACTCGAGTTTAGAATTTTATACACACATAATCATTTTATAACTTTTATTTAAACATGATGTTTTCTTGGTTAATTATTTTGTTCGAATGTTGCAATATCTCACCTTTTACTAAGAATATAAAATAATATATTATACGTTTTTTAACATTGTAAAATCGTATCTTGTATAGGCATCATTTATATTTAAATATTTTTTTGACGAAACCAGAAATTTAATGAAGAAGGAAACGTTATTATTATTAACGGTATTTTTATTTATTTGTACAAACAAAGCTCATGACTATTATAATTATTTGGTGGAACAACTTAATGAAAATTTGCTACCTACGGCCATATTACAATTTAATATTATGATTTTTTAGATATTAAAACAGCGGCATATGCTTCAAAGCACATAATGTGATTATGTCTGTTCGTTGAGCATCGGTCGTTGCACTAATTAACAATTCGTTTATTTCTGGAACACATAAAATATACCCACGGGACACAAGTATCTTATTTTATTATTTATATAGATATTGTAGATTGATTTTGTATACTAATATATTATATTAATAATATTTTATTACAAATATTTCCCCAGTTTTAGAATCTACCTATATCTTCTATATATATTTCTAGTTTCTACAAACTAGGCATCCGAGT